CAAACATAAGGAGAGAGAGAGACAGAGAGAGACACCAAACACACTTTATCATTATCTGTCGTTCACTTATATGAGCACATATGCTGACATGTTGATATCTTTGCTTTGAAAAACCGTCCTAAAGAGTTCAATACTAATGAGCTATGTGTGTATAGATATATATATATATATACGTGTGCGTATGTATGTATGCGAATACGTGGATGAGAACTAGTTCGATAAACATGACTACCTATACGTTAAAAAGATTTATGCCTTTTTGTTTAATAACCTGAAGTTCATTGAGAGATATGATAAGAATATATAGTCTATGATGCGTAGATCGTTACTGTCGTGTTCGATAATTTACTGGTCTAGTTCATAGCGTGCTTGAACATCTTCTTTTCCTATTTGAAAAACATATGGAATGAGACACATTTTTGACACATCAAAAGTCCGTCCTTCTTTCTTTTTCTACTTCTTTTTTAATGCGAAAAGAAAACCAGTAGCAACATCTGTTTTACGTTTGAAAATACAATAGACAAAAAAAAAAGAAAGAAAGAATGGCTAGAAGCATCGTGCTTATATTCGAGAATCATGTCATTGGACGAACGATAATACGAAGAAGAAATATTTCGATCGTATTCCTTATCCCATTTACACATTTTTTTTCTTCTTGTTCGTCGTCTATACTTTCTTTATGAATGTTTTTCATTTGGTTTTAATTATACGACATAGATCAAATAAGATGATACAACTATATTTTTTTTAGTATTTATCCACATGATCAACAACAAGACGAAGTGACTAAAGATCAAGAGAGTGCTGATACACATACAATTTGGAATGCAAATAAAGTACGTATTAAAAAGAAAAGAAAATGAGGAAGAAAGTTTTATCATTAAAAGAGAAAAAGAAGCAAAACCCGTTTGCATGTTCGATGAATAAGGGGTGGACATATACGAAGAAAAATCTTTTAAAAGCTTGTCTTGTCGACAATATAACACGAGACAATTATCAGAGGATTTACCAATATAACCAATAGAAATAAATTTGAACTAGGAAAAAAAAGAAACGTCTATATACTCATATAAAAGAAGAAAGAGTGTCTTTTGTATATTTCATTTTAACATAGTCATTTGAACAGAGAGATGGTTATCTTTTTTTGACATATGGATTAATAAATATACATGATGCAGGTATGGAATATATATATTTTCAATTGGATAGAAATTATCGTATGTTTCGTGTTCCGTCCTTCTCTTTCTTTTTTTTATTTCTTCTTATTGACATCCCACATATTGAGTGAGTTGACACTAATGGTGATCAAATATGAATGAGAGAGTTCCCGTTTTTCATCTCATGCATGTGTATTGTATGATTGTTATTACTTGAATAAAAAAAAAAGAAAGAAATTCTTCGATTAATCGTCTGCATAGTACCATACAACGACAAGAGCTCCTCCTGCTCATCGATTCGAACTAAATGAAAAATGAGTGTCGTGTGTATATAACCTAGTAAAAAAAAAGTGATTGATCGATCGTAACAATACATTTCTATATAAAGAGAAAAGGTGTATCAATAGATTATTACATTTTGATCGAGTGACCAACCATCATATTTCTCGTGTCGAATATCATCCTAACTACCAATATGTTGACTTTGATGGTTCGACACATTCATTCTTTTTTGATATTCTCGGACGAGTCAGGTCATTGACCCTTACGGCAGAGGTGTGTACATAGATATATATATACATATTCTTTTTGAACAGTGCCGCACGAAGTCAATCGATATTTGCATTATCATCATTTGAAAAAATATCCGATGTTCATAAAAAGTCTGCTTTCTGGCGCAAACGAAAGAAAAGAGCGAGAAAATCTAAATTATCCATCGCATCACATATCATTTGTTTGATATTGGACAACCTTTAAGAATATATATATATGAAATGAATGAGCATTATTGAACAATAAATTAAGCCTTATGGCTAAATATTAAATCATAGAAAATATAAATTTGTTGTATGAGAAAAAAAAAGTATTTGTTAGTTTTTATTATTGTATAAGAAGGCGGATTAACACGAATATGTTCTCTCACCTAGGTGGTCCTACTTGACTCATCATGTTTTCAGACGCGCGCTCGTATAAACTCAGTGATAATTACTTTGCTCTAAAAATGAGGTGTGAATGAAGAGAATAAGAAGAAGAGTTGATCGACAATAGCTAACTGACCGCCTTTCACACCTTTACTTTCCCGATTATCGCCTATACATAGTTTTGTATGTTATATACATATTGTCATCAAGTTTGGAGTGTCTTGTCAAATTTTTTTGGAAGTATGTGTATGAGTGTGTGACAATAAGCAATATGTATCAAGAGAAAACTAATAAAGAATCTGTTTTGTTTGTTGCCGGTATCGCCTGATGCTCTTTCGCGTCTCACCTATATACAACACACGGACGAAAAAACATAATTACACACGGGACGCCGTCCCTCCGTGATGGAATCATATACATATATATATGTATATATATATATATATAAAGAGAGAGAGAGAGAATGCGATTGTTCAGTTAATTTTAGATTCTTTTCATGTTGTTCTTATTGAATGAGTGAGTTGAGCTGAGCTGATTGTTGACTATCGGCATCGGCATCGTCTTTATCACATCCGCTCTAACTTCGATGATTGAATTTGACAAGTAGCACCGACGATAGAAGAAGATCGGAGACAAGTAAACACATAGCATTCAATTTCATTCATCATTTTCTTCTTTATAAATTTCGAATAGTGATGAACAATAATTATCATATCACACCTTATATTAATTTTTTTCTTATTTAGGTTTCACCAACATACGACGATAATATTCCAAGTATACAATATTCAAATTCAGATTCTGAATTAGAAAATTCAAGTCAAAATAATAATTTAAATACTAATCATCATCATCCTTGTCGAGAATGCGGAAAATCTTTTGCTACAACAAGTGGTTTAAAACAACATATGCATATACATTCATCAATTAAACCATTTCAATGTGAAGTTTGTTTTAAATCTTATACACAATTTTCAAATCTTTGTCGACATAAACGAATGCATGCGGATTGTCGCACACAAGTTAAATGTAGATTTTGTGGACAAACATTTTCGAACAGTGCTGCACTTAATAAACATCGGTATAATATTATAAAAATAATCTTCCTCTCTATATATTTATATTTTTTTTTCTAGACGTTTTTGTGGAGATTTAACTTCATTTAATCATTCTTCTTCAAAATCACCTTTATCCATTCCAACACCATCCTCATCATCAGCAGCAGCAGCATCAGCAGCACCAGTCCCACCTCCATCATTACCAAATATGTCTTTAAATAAAGAACAAATGAATAATTGGTTATGGAATTCAAATTTTCCATATTCACTTCTTCCTTATTTACCACGCTTAGCAACAATAAATCCATTTCTTAATGGTTCATTATCTCCATTTTTTTCTCAACCATTTCCTTCATCAACAACAAATTCAACTGATTTATCACCCGCTAATTCAATTGAAGAGAAAACAAATTCTTCAACTCCAAAATCCAATAGTCCAAAACAAGAACAATCAGTAAAACGTGGTAATAATGATGATATTCCACTTGATTTAAGTATTAAAAAATCTCGTTTTGATCAATCACCCTTAACATCCAAATCATCATCACCTGAACGAGAAATGAAATCTCCTTCAATTAATCAACCAAAAGTATCTTCATCATCAAAATATAATGTTGATTCATTATTAAATCATGTTAAAAATCCTAAATCAAATTTTAAATTTGATATGATTAAACATTTAAATACATTTTATCATCAACAATCAACAACAATATCTTATCCTCAACAAACACCAACATCAACAACAGCATCAAATAATAATAATAATAACAACAACAACAACAATAATAATAATCCGTATGAGAATTGGCAACATCATCAAATAACAAATAAATTACAATGTTTAAATACTCGTTTGAATAATAAAGATAAATATACATGTTCATATTGTGGAAAAGTTTTTCCACGTTCAGCCAATTTAACTCGACATTTACGTACACATACAGGCGAACAAGTAAGAAAGAATTTTTGTTTTGTTTTTATTTTTATTTAAATTAATTCTTTTTTTAGCCATATCGTTGCAAATATTGTGAACGATCATTTTCAATTTCATCTAATCTTCAACGACATATTCGAAATATTCATAATCGAGAAAAGAAATTTCCATGTCATCTATGTGATCGACGTTTTGCTCAACAGACAAATCTTGAACGTCATTTAACAAAACATGAACGTGGTTTACCGTTAGAAGATTTATCTGGTGATGATGATACATCATTAAATGATTATCCAATTCAATCAACAACGTCAACAAATCAAACACAATTAATAAGTAATGCAGCAGCAACAGCAGCAGCTGTTGCAGCAGCATTTCATCAACAACATACAATAGATTTATTTCAACGTTTATTACCAACAAATACAAATAATTGTCAAACAAATAATTCAATAATAAATCAACGTCGTTCATCATCAATTTCATCAACACATACAACAACATCAACAACAAATTCTTCATTACAACAAACAAATGTTGATGAAGATGATACAATACAAAATGAAGAACAACCTGATAGTTGTTCACCATCAATACAATCCGAAGATGATGAAGATATACCGTCACCAATTAATTCTTGAACTATTCAAATACAGTCACATATTCGAATCTCAATGAACTGATAAAAAAATATATAAAGAAAAAAATATGCGTTTTTTTGTCTTTTTTTTCTTGTTTATTATTGCATTTCAACATATTCTATAGACTTACATACACACTTACACACACACTCTCTTACACACCTTTCTCTTGTTCTCATTTTTTTTTCTTTTTCTTTGTCGCATTGCAATAATCTTCTTCTAGTTCTGTCTGTCTTTGAATGCTTGTTTTTTGTTTTTTTGTGCACATATATTATATGGAAAAATATTTATTCCGAAATTTTGTTTGTTGGTAAATCAGCGGATGTGTAGAGGGGTGGTGGTGATGCTGGTGATGGTTCAGGCTCAACTGTTGTATAACTCGGAGGATATTCTTCTAAAACAATAACATCATTTCTGACAGTATAATGACAAGCTTGAGCCATTTTTGAATCTTCTGCTGAAATTGTAAATGCTGCAGCAGGGTTAGTTATTGAATCTAAATAAGTATAAAAGTATAAGACATTACAATAAAAATAGATTTTTTTGAATGGCCAACTTTGGCCAGAACGTATCAAATAAACACTACATTACAGTCTGTTCTGTTTCAAAAACAACCGTTTATTGAATTATAAGTGAATATGTTTTAATGAAGCCTTACAAAGTAAAATTTTATAAAGAAGCTTTACAAGATCGCGCTGAAATATATCAAACGCTAATACTAATGTTGGAAGATAATGACACTCAAGACTTTTTTTTCGGGTGAATAGAAACTGTTACGAATAGTCCTAAAGTTGACGTTTGGCGTGCTATGTCAAAAAATCGATTAATTGGATCTTTTTTTTCCGAAGGTGATACTACCAATGGGGAAAATATTTATTCTTGAAGTAAAAAATTTACTCAAGATCCGCTTCATAATACTCCAACAAGATGGTATTCCTGCTTATTTCGCTAGTGATGTAAGACAATTTTTGAAGAATCAATTTCTTGGCATACGAATAGGAGAGATGGGCTAATTCGGTGACCTCGACTTTCTCTCGTGGGGCCATGTGAGAAACAATGTTTTTTTCCTAATATCATGAAAGGTATGAAAGGCAAAATATATATAAATCGCTTGGACTTTCGCAACGTCCTGTATACTAAAGCAAATCTGAATAATTCCTTACTAAAATGTTTCCAATGTTTGAATGCATGTCGACGTTTAAACATTTGAAAGAATACGCAAAGGCCAATGAAAATACTGATGGCACATAAAAGACTAAAAAATTAAAAAGATTATTTTTGAAATAGAGATTTTTTTTATAATAAAATATAACTTACAGAACCCACCAGCTGTAGCCAAATATTGTACGTGTTGTTGTTGTTGTAACGACCTCAACAACTGGTTGCACAGTACAACATGTTGTATTTATTCTTGTGGCCATTGTTAAAGGACAACATGTACTTGGACATCTAAGAAGAAATTATTTTAGAAAATAGATATATCAAAAAAGAAGTGTTTTTAACTGTTTTATGTAATTGTGCGAATCATTTGGTACATAATATTGGCACCAGACAAAAGCATTTGCCTAAAGAATCATAAGATAATTAAAACTTAAATGATGGTAAAGAATATATTTACAATTTCAGCATATTGGACCATATATATGAAAAATATGAATAAGACAGTTGGTAACCGTGGATATGAACGACCTATTTTCTTACCCATCTCTTTCCAAGAATTTAGCAGAATGACAGCAGTGCTTAAGGGATACGAGCAATTTATAGCACAAAAAAATAAGAAAATAAAAAGTACGTTCTTGAATTTTTTATTTAAAAAACTTAAGAGACAAATGTAAAAATTTAATTTTTTTTGCTATTACTTATTCAAATTGCAGAAAACACCTGACTCTCTGGCATGTTATTTATGCTTGAAAGCGTTATATCATAAAAAATATGAATATCATCTAGGCTAAATGCACTTTTTTGCATAAACTCTAATATTCATTTCATACTATATGAGCAATAAGTTGATTACAATTCCATTTCTTTGTTTTTTTGTTTAAAATTTTAACTAAATATTTCTTTTTTCTTTGTTAGAAAAAAAAATATTATAATAATAAAACACAAAAAAAAAAATAGCAGATGTTTGACTAGAAAAAAAAAGAAAATTATAAACAACCAATTGATCATGAGGAAGGCGGACGATTAAGTAGAAGATCATGTTGAGAACGTTTTTTCAAAAATGTCTTGGCTTTTTCAACATATTCTTGTAAATAATCAAAATTTAATTTAAATGGTTTCCGGCTTAATATCATTTGTTCCATATCAGCATGTTTGGATATTTGTTTCCATGTTTCTAAATTTAATTGTAAATCATTTTGCCATGGTATAATAGGATTTGTTAAATTTGCTGTTGCTGATGTGTCTTTTTTTACATTTTCAAGAGAATCAATTTGGACAACTTTTAATAAAACATCAAACTAAAGAAGAAAAGAAAATAAATAAATAAATATTTATCTATAGCAATAAAAATAACTTACAGTTGGATGAACAATATGTGTAATAAAACCAATTTGTAATTGTACAATATCGGTTGATTCTCTGTCAAATGTTGGTTTATCATCTTGATAATTTAGTTTTTCTAAATCACCTTGAATAAAAAATTCTTCTATGACTTTTTCAGCTGAATGTATATAGATATCCCATGGTTTAGCAGCATTTGATATATCAGCTGCATGTAATAATGTTTGTAATAGAGTTTTTGAATCAGCCGATGTTGCTGTTGAATTTGTCTCTTTGAAAAAAAAATATGTTGATAAACGTTCAATTAATGATGCATGATTTGCCATATCAGTTGCTAGTACAAGTGAAATAACTAATGAACGAAATGATCGAAATTCATTTGTATTCATATGTGACCAAATATTATAACGTTTATCACGTAGAAGTTTAAATACTGAACTTGCATGATGATTTTCTATAAAAAAAAACAAAAGAAACAAACAATAACATAGATATTATAAACCAGGCATTCGTCTTGTAAAACTTATTTTATGCTTTTTCTTAGCGGGAGGCATAAGAAAAATTTACATCTATTCATCATCAATGAATCCTCAGTGAGTTTCATATCAATTAGAGTATTTGAGAGGATTTACACTAATGTTTAGTCTGTGACAAGTATATTTACTCATTTCTTTTGCTTCAGATTTTGCACCCGCAAGCCATACCAATGGTTTATTCGTTATCTATTTTTAGTTTTCAAACAATCTATCTATTCGAATTTCAAACTATAGAACTCTCGAAATTCCTTTAACATTTAAGCTAATTATTAAAAACTCTACATCAATTAAGGTAGAGTTTTTTAATTAGATGAAAAAAAATTTTTTTACTCTCTAACATATATGAAGAAAATAATTTAAATTTCTATAGAAAAAGAAGTCATATATTAACATCTGTTCATTTAATAAAATATTCTTGATTAAATTTTTAGTTACCTAATACACTAAAATCATTGTAAGTTAATGCTAAATCATTTTTTGTTTTAACAAGATAACCATTATTTAAACCTGGATGTTCATAATCATGTATAGCAGCTGCAAATAACTATTGATAAAGAAAGAAAAACAACTTATGAATAAATTATTTTGCTTATCTTACTAATGCAGCAATTTCAAGTTGAGTAAAAACACTCATTAAATTACTTTTTATTAATAGGCAATGTGTTGTTTGAAGAACATCGGCTCCATGAAAATCATTATGATAAGGCGTCCGAAATTCTATATTAAAAAGCGTTTAATTTTAATTTCTTTCTTTCTTTCTTTTTTTTTATTTTTAACATACTCTGATAACCATCTGTTAATGCTCGATTAAAATTTTTTAATGTTTCAATATCAATATGAAAGCGTGTTATTATATCATGTGCATCAAATATAAGTAGTATTGAAAAATTCAAAGGTTCATCATATTCCATCATATTAAATGACCATGAATTTAATTTATGAATATCAACTGGTAAATCTAGAATAGCTGATACACGTTCTTTAGCATTCTGACGCATTTGCCGTTGTAAAGCATTGACAAACGATGATGCTTGTATTATAGCTCGAATAGAGTCAAAACGTTGAGCAGCTGTTGATGAACGCTGTTGTTTAGATGAGAATGTTTGTTCTAACCATTTACTTATTTGTCCATCATTTGAAGTTACATTTATTTCACTTTGTCGTGTATCATCAGAAAGAATTTCCACGAGATTATAAAGAATTCCTTAAAAAAAAAATGTTTTTTTTTCCCTATTTGATTTTTCATTTGTTTATTATAAACATTGAATGTATCAATTGTTAAATAACAAAAGAAGATCGAATGATGTTTTGAGTAAAAAGAGACAAAGAAGAAGATGAGTAGTAGTATGGTGAATTGATAACTTATATACATGATTGAAGAAGAAAAGTAAGGAAAGATAAAAAAGAAAAATTTGAAACCATTCATTCGCGTTTGTTAGACGAGACTTTCTTTTCATTCAATTGTAATTTGAGAATTAGGAAAAAAGAAAAGAAAAATTTTGATATTGACATACCATCAAGTTCTTTTCCAACTTTATCCAATGTTTCTACTTGATCGGATGAACCTAGAAAAAAACTAATAGCAAATTCAAAGAAAATTCTTACAAAAAAAAAGTTTTTTTTTCTTATCTAAGATTTATAAAGATAATCTTTTCTTTTCATAAATATTTTTTTTTGTTTTCTTTTTTTTTTCCAATTAAGATTAAGAAAAAAATTCAAAAATAGAATATAGAGAAATATTTCAACATATTGTGGATGATCATTTACCATCTTTAACTAAATTTGATTGAACTTTTCGAACTTGTTCAGTTGCTATACGAAGACGGCCAAGTATATTAACTGTTGTCATTGAAGAATTTTCAGGTTTAATATTTGACGTTGATGACAAATCGAAATGGTTCGATTTGTTCATATTCAATTACTAGAGTGATAGTAATGATGATGATCGTTATGACACTACTACTGCTTTTATTATTCTTCTCCTTGTTCTTGTTCTTCTTCGTTTTCTTTTTCTTCTTCTTCTTCTCTATTTTTTTTTCTATAATATTGTGTCGCGTCGTCGATGTTGCCGTGTTCTCTCTTGTATAGATGCGTGCATAGAAATAAAGGGGATGCTTGCACTAACCGTTGCACACAAACACACAACAGTGTGTTGAATGGAAATAGATTCAAAACACCAGCATTTATGGAGATTTTCTTTCTTGTTTTTTTTTCGCGCGCACGTTTACAAACATACAAAAAAACAGTTAGAATAGTAACATCAGCCTGCTGTTTATGTTGCTATTGTTAATATTCTTGGTTTAGTTATGCTGAGCACGAGAAGAGAAGATCTTCTAGTAAAATGAGAAAAAAAAAGTAAATCAAACTATTCATTTCTATTTTCACGTATATAAAAGTGATAAAACTAATCAAATATGAAGAAAAAAAAGAATTTTACTTAATTGTTATGAAAAGAAAATTAAAAATAATAAAAAGAAGAGGAAAGAAAAAACTATATAGTTCATCTTTTAATAAAGAGGACTTTCGGCCTTATAATTTGTTATTCGTTAGTAGGTAACTCGACGAGTAATAACGAGCAACGGATTGACAAAGTATAAAAAAAGAAAACCGAGTGAATTTCTCTCTTCTTCTTCTTCTCTCTCTCTCTTCTTTTTCATCTAATGCTTTCTTCTCCTTCGGCTTTCCCTTATACTAATTTTTGCTCGTCCACTAGCTTAGGTAATTACCGACAAAAAGAAAAACAGAGAAAGAATATCGCTATCATCACACGCTTCATATCATCATATTACCAATTATGTCTTCTAACAGTTGTAGCTATTGTATTCTATTCATATATATATTGACAGTTCGTTGCCGTTAGTTTTTCTTCTTTTTTTTTTTGTTAAGGTACTTTTTATGACTCATTTTTTATTCAATGACATTCTTGTTAATCTTGTTTTCTATTCTTCAGGAAATTACTTGATATAAAGAAATGACAATAAAAACGAGAAAAATTCAAGAATAACACATCCGAGTTGATAAGAATACTTTTAAGTATTATTTATATATCAGTTAATGACAAGTAATAGTTATTCTTTTATATATATAATTTTGTTTCTTTCTCTTGTTGTTATTTTTTAATTCATATTGTCATTCTTATCCATAACAAGCAATTCATCATATCCTATCATCAATACAAAGTAGCTAATTCATTATAATATATATATATATAGAAATCTTTGTTTTTTTTATATCTTGACTAGAAAACAAACAGACACAAATAATAAAAAACAAAAGAAAAACAAGATTAAGTTAAATGATTGAAAAATTAATTGGATTTTCATGTCGATTAGCATTTTTTACCATTCCGATTTGTATATGATCACGAAAAGCACGAATAACACGAAGCTAAAAACAGCAACAACAAATCATAATAATTGATTAATAATTCTAGATGCATTTGATTTATCATCGATTTAAAGGAAACTATTCAATAATCTGCATGAATAAGTAATTGATTTTATAATTAAGACTTTTTTGGAGGGATCTATGCTCGAAAGCATAATTAAAAGATTACCAAAAATACAATTGAATCTTTCTATCTGACTGCTGTGTAGGTGTCTATTTCGAGGTATTCTTATCAAAACAACAAAAGCAGCTTTTTAAAAAGGAAATATTACTTTTTTAGTCACATCCGTTATAAGCAAAACTCTATATTTTTCTATTTCCTATAATTTTATCATTGAGTAAAAAGAAAAATTAGTTCAACATACCTGCATGCGTATACGTGTAATATTTCTTAACCATAAGATTCGGATGTTTTTTATTTCATCATCACTTATATTTAAATCTTGATTAATTGATGATCTTATTACATTTGATTCATTTGAATGTTCATATGCGTTATTAATTACACCATTTGTATTTATATCAGATTTTTTCTTATATTTTGAAAACAAATCACAAGATGGTATTAATAATAGATTGATAATCTATGAATGAACAAAAAAGAAAAGCATGTCAGTTAAAATAATTCTATCGTTTAATGACATTGATGTCATATAAAGACGTCTTTCTCTCTTCTGCCTGTCTCTGGAGGCAGACAAAACTATTACTATGTCATCATTTTTAAAGATTATTTATAATCTAACCTGATTCCATAATAAAGTTCCTGTACCAAATAAAAAACACCACATCCATTCATCGAGTGAAAGTTTAACACATGAAAATACCATTGAACCGTATTGAACAAGTAATATTTGTACGATAAAAGTTACAATCCATATAGTACAAAAAATTTTATTTGCTAAAATATGACGAAATACATTGAGTTCTCCATGAATTTTTCGACAATTTATTTCATTAAATAATGCCATTAAGACAAAACTATTAAAAATCATTGTAAAATGTTCCGATGGCATATAACCATTAGTACCAGGTTGACCATCTTTCATATCAAATACACTTGGACCTAAAATAATAAAAAAACACAATATTTTTTCTTTTAATTATTATTATCACAAAAAATATTAACCCGCAAATAAAAGGAAAAGTATTATAGATAATTGATAAATAGCTTGTAAAACAATATTTTTTGCCATTCTATGTGTAATTAATGGATAATTTCGACCAGTTGGTTTTCTTTTAAGTAAATCGATAGTTGGTCTATCAGTTGCAAGTGCTAATGAAGCTAATGTATCCATAATTAAATTAACCCAAAGCATTTGTACAGCACGTAATGGACTTTCTTTAACAATACATGAACCAACAAATGCGCAGATTAATGCAACAACATTAACAGTTAATTGAAATTGAAGAAATTTCGATATAGAATCTGTTACATTTCTTCCCCACATGATTGCTTTAACAATCGATGTAAAATTATCGTCAATTAAAACTATAGAAAAGAAAAAAACGAGGTGCGAAGAAAAAATTAACATCTATTCAATATTAACTTACTTATATCTGATGCTTCTTTTGCAACATCTGTACCTTGAATACCCATTGAAAAGCCAATATCAGCTTTTTTGAGTGCTGGTCCATCATTTGTTCCATCACCTGTAACAGCAACAATTTCACGTGTCATAGAATGTTTTGATTCAACTAAATGTTTCACAAGTAGATATTTATCTTGTGGTGATGATCGTGCTAATACACGTAAATTTGAACCAATTTTATCAAATAAATTTTGATCAACATCTTCGAAACGATTTGGACGTATACGTCGATTAAATTCTTTACCATCAAGAACAAGAAAATGATCCGTAGGAGATATAATACCACATTTTAATGCTATTGATCGTGCTGTATTTACATTATCACCTGTTATCATACGAACAGTTATACCAGCTTCTTTACATTGTTCAATTGCTTCTCGAACCTATTCAAAAACAAATAATCGATATTATATATAGAAAAAAAAGATAATTTACTTCTGGTCGAACAGGATCTTCAATACCACAAATACAGATACATGTTAAATCTTCAAATATAGTTGTTTCATCATTCCAATCATTCGGCATTTCATGAAAATCTTTATAAGCAATACAAATTGTTCTTAAACCATCACACGCCATTGGTTCAATAACATCATGTAAAAGATAATTACAATCATCTTTTGTTAATGGTATTACATTTCCTTCTTGATCTAAAATTTTTGTACATTTTTGTAAAACAATTTCTGATGCACCTTTCATATGTAAACGAATTGTATCTGAACGTTGAATAACTGTAGACATTAGTTTTCGAATTGAATTAAATGTATATACATGAAGAAAACTTTCTTCTAAATATGTTTTTCTTAAAGCTTCATAGTTTCCATCTAGTTCAACAATAAAATTTAATAAACCACATTCAGTTTTATTTCCAACTTGTTTTGGTAAAATTTCTTTTTCTGTTGGTAACTTGAAGGAAGAAAATTAAAAAATTAAAAATAATCAAAAAAATTCAATTATTATTTAATCTTACAATTAATTTTGATGTATAACTACTATTAACAGAAATGCCTTCGAAAAGAATTTCTTTGGTTTTATCAGATAAGTGCATTTCTTCTAATTTATTTCGATTATTAATATTTTTCCAATGTTTACCAGCAATATAAACTTCAACAACAGTCATACGATTTGTTGTTAAAGTACCCGTTTTATCTGAACAGATTGTTGTTGCATTACCCATTGTTTCACATGCATCCAAATGACGAACTAGATTATTATCATACATCATTTTCTAGACAAAAATCAATGTATTTTATTATGAATAAAAAAAATAGGAATTAACTAACCTTAACAGCATATGCAAGTGAAATAGTAACTGCTAATGGTAAACCTTCAGGAACAGCAACAACAAGAACAGTAATACCAGTTATTAAATATCGAACAAAACGATTCCAATATTTTGCTTTCCATGGCTCACGTTTAATAACAAATTCTTCATATGAAAATCGTGCAATAAGAACAAGGACAGTTAAAACAGCAACAATCATTCCTATTGTTTTGCATTAGATTTTTATTTATAAAACAAAAAGAAACATACCAATATATCCAATTTGAATAGCTAATTTAGTTAATTTTGTTTGTAAAATTGATCGTTCTTTATCTCTATTTCGATCATTATGTATATCATCGGTTGCCTTTGGTTTGGTTGTTTCTGTTGTTTCATTTTCTTGAAATATATATTCATTAGAATCAAAATATATATATATGAAAATTATTATTTTACTTTTTGGTACTGGTGTACGTAGTAAACGACAAATAACACCAGTTTGACTATGTTCCCCAACAGCTATGACTAACATTTTTCCACTACCTTCCATAACATGTGTACCTAAAATAACTTAAATAAATAAACGAGTACATATTCGAATAAATGAAATGTACCTGAAAGAAGAAATGGATTTTTATGAAGATTTTTTGATATTAAATCCGATTCTCCTGTTAACGATGATTCATCAACTTTCAAATCATTTGATTGTATAACAACACCATCAGCTGGTAATAGATCTCCATATTTTATTTGACATACATCTCCTACAACTATGTCTTTTAATGGTACTTGTTCTAATTGATTATTTCGTATAAGATTAAATTTTTGATCATGTTCAATTTTATTTTGTAAACCACGAAATTGTCTTTCTTTACTCCAATCATTAAAAGCAGTGACAAATATAACGACAATTACAGCTAAAATAATTGCTGCACCTTCGATCCAGTCAACATTTGTTTCTTCTATAAAATAAAATAAAAATAAAAATTTTCTTTCTTTGTTTTAAATATTTACTATGTCTTTCATATTGATGCTCAAATGTATTACGATCAGAATGATAAAAAGCAAGACCAAATGATATGGTTGCACAAATAATAAGAATAATAAGTGTAACATCTTGTAGAGCTTCGAACATAAGACGAAAAAAACTTTTGGCTGATTTTTTAGGTATTTCATTATGACCAAATATTTTCTTCCGATGTAATAAATCGAGTGGATCACCAGTTAAACCAGTTTTTAAATTTGTTTTAAGCCTTTTTTCTAAACCATATAGGCCACCAAATGTTTCATTAAATTCTTTAATACCATCATGCTGATGTGTTTGCATTAAGAATTCTAAATCTTGACGTGAAATATCGAATTCATCAGTAATTATTATATGATTTATGTTATTGTCTATCATCTTCGAATGATGAACCATTTGTGATTGTTCGTTTCGTTATTTGTGCATTTATATTCGATATATACATAAGACAAGAAAGAGAACAAAAAACAGAGTGCGTACTTTTACTGATACCCTCGATAGTTCGACCAAACAAACTGTAAACTATCAAGTTTATTTATCTCAATACGAATACCACGTGTGTTTCTTATTATTAGTTTAAATTTCTTCTTTTCCAGATTAACTCTTTCTATCTAGTATATGTCTATTGACGATGTAATAGAAAAAGACATAGCTATTGTTATATAAAATTGAATCGAACGATTTAGTGTTTCAAAATATAAATGCAAGATTAAAATAATTTGAGAGTGGAATTTACTATTTAATTATAAATCGATGTAAAAGACAAGATAAGCTCAAACACGAACTATTTTGTACGTGATTGTATCGCAAGATCAAATGTGATATTCATTTCTTTCAAAATTAGTTTTTGATTTTTCTATGTAATAAATCTTATTCAAATCAATATAATGAGAACATAATCAAAAAGAAATTTTATATTTCATCTTCGATAGATGTCAGCAAAACAAACATATAATTATCTTGTTCTATCTGCCTGCATAGCTTAAAAATTCATGATGGCTATTCTTATTGACGAATCAACATTAATTCATTGTTCAGTTCATATCCAATGAGTCAACATATTCTTCATTTATGTTTTTGTTGACTTTTTCCGTTTCTTTTGTTTATCAATCATTAACTACTTCGTATCAATTTCCGATTATTTGACTACAAACATATCAAATGGTAAAAAGAAATTGTAAGACTCTTATGTTCTATTGTATAAAAGAATAAAAAAAAAAATTTTTTTTTTCTTCTCGGAAGAAAAAATTGATTACTTTCTCTCTTGATCGATTTCAATATGTCTTATAGTTTTCTTGTCATTTAGTATCTATATATTAATTATATATGTTTAATGAATGAATAAGAGACGTGACTGAAGAAAGGAAATATGATTGACATTAAAGATAAATATACATCCACCTTTTATGATCAATAGTTAATAATCATGCTCTCTCTTTTTTTTTACATAATATAAATATTATATTCCTTATCTTCCATGAAAATGTTACGAATATATTGATTATATAAAAGAGAGAGAGATCTTTTTTTTCTTCTGCTGTTATATTTAAAACAAATCAGAGTTGAAATAGTTCGTTGTTATCTTTATCGAACTAGTTGTCTTTTTACTTTTATGTCATCGACTTTTATTTGGTTGTCATCAAACTCTTACTTATGATCATCATAATTTAGACTTTTTTCTGATGATGAAAGACAACTAGAACGGTTATATATTATGCCTTGCAGTCTTTGACATCATCACAACAATTGTTCGCCCTTGATGTTAGTATTTCTCGTTGCCACATACATACGTAAGTGCAGATAGACAAGGCATAGTCCAACGATGTATGGTAATTGCATAAAATATGGTAACGAGAGCGGCAAAAAGATGTGTTATTACTGATTCTACTACTTCTGTTGTTTCAACTAATCGTTAGTCGTTCGTTGTTGTTGTTGTTATTTATTCGATTTCATCGCCTGTATTTGAAGAATGTCGCCAAAGCTGTATTTACACAAATGAAGATATCAGGGAAAATTCCTTTTTCTTATTTTCTCGGATATATATTATACATATATATATATATTTCTCTTTCTTCGTCTTCATCACTATTTATTAATCATTGATTATGAAAGTAAGAACATATAAGAGATATAAAAGTCATTACCACCTTCTTTTTCCTTGAGAATTTCCATAGGGTATCTTCTTTAATCTTTGTCTGTCTCATGTTTATCTATCAGTACTATCGTGTCTAGTTTTCTTTTTTTTGTTGCCTTGATTATCAAATAACATATCAAGAAAAAGATTGAGCTGTATACACAAAGAGTATTGTCGTACATTTACTTTTCTTTTATCATTTAAGTTATTGTTATTTCAGATGTAATGTCGGCAAGTGAATCAAATAATAACGCGACAAATTTGAAGATGCAGTCGAACACAATTAATTCGGCTTTAGCTTCAATACATCCATTAACTACACAACCTCAAACGCCATCGCCTCCACCTTTACCATTAATCACAACAACATCATTACCATCATCACCAGCACCATTTAATGAAGATAAACATACGGAAAAAACTTATAAGAAAGGAAAACAAATTTTATTTGAATTTGATCAAATCTTTAAAGGTATGTATATATATATAATTCTTTTTTATTTTCATCAATTAATATTATGAATGGGTTATAAGTAGGAGGGATATCAAGTTCGAAAGGGCAAAATACACACACGTCTTTCTCTCATCAGATATATATATATATATATATGTATATATACATAAATGTATACATACATGCATATCTATACTTATATGGGGTGTTGTATATCAACAACCATGAATGGAGATATGAAACCTTGTTGTTATTCTCTGCTGCCATTGTAGATAATGATAAATTGAAGTCAAAAGTCAAGATTAAAAAATAATTGAAGAAAATAGGAGTTTAATTTTTATATAAAAAATGATTATAATACAAAGAAGTTACTAACACGCCTAGAGCCATTATTCAATGATTCGATTAAGAGCTTGTTTAATCACGCATAAATACTGTTAGAGATATTATCATTGACAAGAAGTTTAATGGGTATATCTCATTTGTTATTTTTATTATTATTCTATATTTAAAGGTTAAATAGAACAAATAACTCATGATATTTTATTCTTAAACATATTGTCTCTTGATTTTCAAAAAGTAAGAGAGAAAGTCAAGCAATAATAAGCATAACGATATCATATTTCTAATGAACACGATATATAGACAAAAGAAAGAACGAAAGAAAAAATAGAAAGAGAAAGAAGAAGAAAAAAAATGTGAATAAGAGTGTTGACCGGTTCGTGTTGATGTTAAATGTGCTTGCTTCATTGGAATATAGCATTGTTCCTCTTTCATCGTTCATATCTATGCGAACAAATGTTTGCCATTACTCTGATGGAGGGCAGACATATACATAAAGTGATACACTAGGCCTCGACATCATAGTCGTCGTCGTCGTCGTCGTCGCTGAGCAGAAGAAAAAAAAAAAGGAAAAAAAGGTCCTTTACTTACTCGTTCATTCAATCATCATGCAGACTCACGAATGAACAATTAGAACATAGTTGTCTATCGACAATGGTGAACTATACATGCGGTGTAGCATCGACAAAAAATAGTGTACGACGCTCATCAAATTCACAACTAACTTTATTGCGAAAACAAACCGAACGTTATAGACTTCGTAGGATTATTAAATAATTCGAACTAATAAGAATTTTTCTTTTTCTTCTTATTAATTAGATATTCGTTTTCAACTTAATGAACAATTAAAATCCTTAGAACAACGTATTGAAACACAATTATCAATTCTTACTGAAATACAAGAATATTTTAAACGTCGTGCTGATGTTGAACTTGATTATGCTAAAAATCTTGATAATTTACATAAACAAATAGGTCAAAAGCATCGTGCACAAAAAGCACGGTAAGATATTTTTCTTTTCAAAAGTCAAAAAATAATTAATTCATTCATTGAATTCAATAGACGTGAAACTTGGAGTCTTCAATCAATATATAAATTATGGGATACTATTGTTCAAGATACTCGTACTCATGTTAAATATCATTCAATTATGTCTGATGTTTGTGGAAAATATATGTATGATAAATTTAATGAAATAGCTGATGATACACGACGAATGTTTACAAAAGTAGAAAAATAGATTTTTCTCCAAAGGAAATAAATCTATATTTTGTTTTCTAGTGTAAATCGGCTGGGTTGGCTAGTCATGAAGATATATATAAAGTACTTAATGAATTACAGAGTGTAAGTGGTATATTTATTATCTTTTATCTCGTCGAACATGTTGATTACATATGTGTATGTTTATTTAGACAATGAAAACCTATCATCAGTATCAGAGTGAAAGTAAACAAGCCGAACAAAAATTGCGAAATATTCAACAACAGATGGCGAAGATAAAAAGTGCAAAAAAACAAAAAACAATGGAAAAACGAGTTGAAAAAGTAAATTTTTGCCTAAATTAGTTCGACATCAAGGACATCTTGAAAAAATAGTCTATTCCAATTTCCCTAATAATTTTTTCATGCTATCGTAATGATTTATATCACAACATCTCCTAATCGATTTTTAAGTTCATACTCATCCTCTCTGATAGGAAGAGTACCAGAATGAAACATGAGCTATTCCTATGAGAGATGTTGTAAAAATAAGATTAAGTATTGCTCTTGATTGTTAATATTCATATAGAGAAAAAAACGCTATGTTTTATGATGAGAGGAAATTCTCATTTATATTTGCTCTTCTCAAAATCTTTCTATTGATATTATCGAATAAGAATAAGAAAAATTTCTTGTATTTTTAATATTAGAGACAAATGAAATATACAGAAACAAAAGTAAAAGCATTTAAAGCACGTAATGATTATTTAATGACAATTGAATCTGTGAATGCTGCATTACAAAAATATTGTTTGGATGATGTACCTGATTTAATTGATTGTATGAATTTTGGTTTTCATACATCAATTGCTAAAACAATTCAAATGTATTTATCAGCCCAAGAAAATATAAAACGTGGTCGACAAGCGTATGTTCATAAACAACAAAAGAAGAAGAAATAAAATTGTTTTTTTTTAAATTTTTTAAGAACAATTGAAACAATGAATCGAGCGATTGGTGATTTAGATACAGCTACTGATAAACAAAAATATTTAGAACAATATTCATCTGTCTTTACAATACTTAAAAGAATTAAATTTGAACCACACAAAGGTGATGAAGTGTCAGCTGTCAATGCTCAAGTGTTAATACGAGATGAAATGCAATCACGATTTATACAAATGCAGAGTCGACTTGCAGCATTAAAAACTGAAAATGATGAGGTTTGTTTTATAAGTATTCTTCTCAAGTTTCATAGTCTTTATCTAAAGAATTATTTGAAGAGGAATAAAACTAAATACTTTTACATAATATATGACTATTAGATGATTAAATATGCGCAAAGAACAAGTAAGCAGAAAATTAATGTCAATATGTAAACATATAAGCTTAAATAGATTGCTATAGGCAAGGACAAAATTAACTAAAAATGAACAGCTGCGCTTCACTTACCGAAGTAATCTAAATATTGATTTTTATTGTTTTAACTAGATTTTTAAAACAATCGAAGCTACTGAACAATCATTAATGGAATATATAAATACGAATAATTCTGATGTATCCGATTTATTTAAAGATCTGAATTTACCACAAAATGTATCAAAAGATACGAGAAAAGAAATTGAAGATTATTATGTTGAGGTATATTCAATAGAATGTTCATTATTTTTTATATAATTCTTTTCTTTTTTTATTTTCATAGAAATTTAAACAATATACTTTAAGTAGTAATTTAATTTCACGTCTACAAGCTCGTCATGATATAATGCAAAAAGCATTAGGTGCAGCACCAGTTGCTACCGGTGTTGAAGATAAAAAGTAAGGAATCAAAAACATATTCGAAATAATTATATTTCATTTTTTAGTTTGATACGTCGTCCGGTAAAACCGAAACAAATTGGCCGTGCTCCAATTCTTGGTCGTCCACGTTTATTCGGTGGAAAACTTATAGATTATGTTGAAGTAACTCAACAACATATACCATTAATTATTTCATCATGTGTTAGTGCTATTAATCGACTTGGTTTACACAATCAGGTTAGTCAAGATTTTTTTGATTTGTAAAGTTAGAATCAAATCTATGAGAAGTTTATATTGAAAACTGTGTACAAATGTTTTGATGAGAAAATGTCCTCCTGTAATTTCTTATTATATATTAAATAGAATATGCGTAAATTATAAAGTCATGCGGAGAGTATTTTTAACTTTGCGACAGATGAACACTTTTCCGAGTCAATGAGTTTTTAAGTAATATCCATTATGGCACTGTCAATAATAATTCTGTATATTTATCTAAAGTGAAGTGAATTCTCATCCGGATATTAAGTTGATTCTTTGACAGCTTTCAAGTCATTTTGTCAAAAGATGAAATCGAAATAACATACTATTTATTTTCTTTTTATTTCTAGGGTATTTTTCGTGTACCCGGTGCTCAAGTTGATATAAATCAATTTAAAGAAGCATTTGAAAAAGGTGAAGATCCACTAGTTAATATAACTGGACGTGATATGAATTCAGTAGCTGGTGTATTAAAATTATATTTTCGAGAATTAAAAGAACCATTATTTAGTCGAGATATGTTTGATTCATTTATTGGATGTATTGGTAAGAAGAAATTTGTTCTTTTTCGATTAAAATATTTTCTCTCGATATTTATTTATCTAGTTGATGTTGAATCAGAAGAAAAATGTGTGGACAATTTTTGTCAAGTTGTGAAACTTCTTCCTCGTCCAATATTTATTGTTATGCGTTATTTTTTTGCTTTTCTTAATCAGTAAGAATTATTTGTTTATTATTCTATCATATAAATTCTTTTATTTATTAGTCTTGCGGAATATTCCGATGAAAATATGATGGATGCATCGAATTTAGCTAGTTGTTTAGCACCAACTTTGTTACCAATACCTGAAGATCAAGATCAAGTGCAATATTTAACACATACGATTGAACTTATACGATCAATAATTATACATCATGAAGAAATATTTCCATCAGATGGTAATGGACCTGTCTATGAAAAATTTGCAATTACAGTTCCAATGTAAGATAAAATAGAAAAATAAAAAAAGATTTAATTTCTTTGTTATTATTTTAGTGATGGTGAAGAAGATGAAGATGATGAAGGAATCAGTGAACGTTCATTAAGACGAACACCAAGTGATGATGGTAAGAATTAATATCTGAGAGAAAAAAGAAAAGAAAATTTCTAATATTTTTTATATGAAATAATTATAGCGTCACAAGATTCTGATTATTGCACCGAAGATTTTAATTTAATGAATGAGACTGATGTTTGGTAAAAGATGAGAAAATAAACTAAAACCAATTCCCTATCATTCTTTAAGAGAATCGCTATTGAAAACGCGAGCATGATTAGCATGGCTTCGGTATTCCTTTTTTGAAAGCTATACATTCTTGTGTGTGTGTGCGAATATTGATCAAAAAAATTGAGATCTTTCATTGAATAATATTTATTTAAATTCTTTTTAGAAGTGGAGACGATTGAAGCAGTAGCATTGTTTGATTATGTTGGAAGAACTGATAAAGAATTATCATTTAAAAAGAATCAAATTATATATATTTTTAAAAAAATGAATCATGAATGGTGGCAAGGTTATTTAGCTGGTGGAAATGAGTCGGGATATGTTCCCGACGGTTACATCAAGCTTAAAGCAAGGTATGTTGAAACATATCTCGAGAATAAAATTGTATTTTTGTTTGTTTGTTTGTTTTATTTATAGACGTCGAGATTCTGCTCCTATTCAAAATCATCCTCCATTAAGTATTACTCCTGATCCATCTTCATCATTAAATTCAATTAATTTAACAGCAACATCTTCAATTGATCAACTTGATGCTCCTATGGTATACCGTCCACCATCGGATTTATCACTTGTTGATGAACATCGTCTTAATATAGCTAAAGAAACTGAAATTGTTGAAGTTGATTCTGATATTGATGATGAAGATGATGAAGATGAAGAAGAAGATGAAGATGATTCACAAGAAAATACATATGAAAATACAAGTAGTTCAAGTCAACCAAAACCACCACCTCATCGTACAATTTACGATATTTTACCACCTAGTCCACCGATACCTCAATCAACAATTGATCATTGTCAATCAAGATCATCGACATCATCCTCATCACGTTTAACATCAACAAATGAACAACAAATAATTGATATTGATACAGCATTACGTGAAGTTTTATCTGGTATTCGTACAGTTGAAGAATGTCATGCTCAATGTTTTCGTTCAATACCACCAACAAATAATCAACAAGATGAACGTTTAACAACACCACAAGAAACAGATGCACCTGATCTTGTACTTAATTTACCTATATCAAGTGGATTTATTACACCACCAGCTACAAAATCACTTGATACAAATCTAAATGAAAATCAATTATCAAAATCTTCATCATCATCAAATAGTTCACCAATTCATCAATCAATTGAGAATAATAATAATAATAATAATCATAATTCATTAACTCAATCAACAATAGTAAATGATTCGACACGAACATCACGTTCAAATTCTTCATCAACACCTACTGTACATTTTATTGAAAAACTTCGACCATCACCTGAACCAACAAATCGAAAAAAAATTCCACCACCAATTATGAAAAAACCTGAAAAAACTGTTGAATTACTTAAACGTCTTGGTTTACAACCATCAACTGAATCATCATGTAGTGTGACAATTTCATCAACATCAACTTCATCATCAACATCATCTCATTTACATCAACAACCAATACCAGCTGCTGGATCATCTAAAACAACCGATGTTTAATTAAATGGGTTTTCTTTATCACAAATAAAAATATAATTTATCGGTGCTGCTAGTCGCGCTCTTTACTTTAAATGTATATCATTCTCTATTATATCTAATCTCTTTCTCTCATATTTTTTAGCGTGTAAACAATCATTCTTATATTCTCATTACTTGGCCTTATATCAATGGCTATCTTTCTTTTCTTAGACGAGAAACAAAAAAAGTTTATTATTCTTGTTTGGCTGTTTGTTTATTACCCGTTGTCGAAATATTCTTTTGTAACGCAGTTTTTTTTTTGTTTGTTTTCTATATGAATGTTTATTGTAGAGAAGAATCTCCTGTTAAATGAACAAAGATAAAATTATAAGTGAAACATTATAAAAAATAAAGATAAATAATAATCTAAAAGATTTATATACATATCTGAAATTAAAATACTTTTTCTAATTTCTCAAAATATCCGTAACTGAAAATTTTTAATCTTTACTAAGAGTTACAACTAAACGTAAATGTACGATTGTTTTTTGCTTAATAATATAATTTTAGTTCATTCGATGAAATTCATATACAAATAAAGATTTTCTCTGTTCGGATTACTTTTACTACTGAATTTATTATGAATTCGCTCATCTTTCAATCCTTTAATTAACGATTGTTTACTTTATCACCCGAAATTGCGTTTGTCGTTTGTTTAAATAAATAAAACTTGAGTGCTTATGTCATCTTATACATTATCCTTTTTCGTTACGAGCTTTTATTTTAAACGTTTGTTCATTTATTCATTTGAAACCTATTCGAATACAATATAAAAAAAAACAAACCAAGTAAGTTTATAAAATCAAGAAGTTGACTTAAAAGAAAACAAGAAAGAACTATTCGACCTTGACAAGAGTCATAGAGCATAGTTTTCTTTTTTTATCTTCTTTCGAGAATACACAACAAAAAAGAAATTTCTTTACTATGTACTAATTGATTAAATTATTTTAACAAGATGTATGTGTGTAATCCTATCGTTTTCTTCTATTACCGATAGAGATTTGGATTCATTGAATATTTTTGTATGTGACTAAACATGTCAATTGTTAAACATATGTAGGTGTTAATACAAACACATCAATGAAAAAAAGAAATAAGAAGAAACAACAATAATAATACTGTGTCTTTATACATTTCAATTGTTCAAATAATGTTATTCACTAAGCATCCTTATTTATCTATATTATTAGTTATTTATTACTTTTCTTTTACTCCATTAATAAATTGTTGTAATATATGGAAAGCATCCGAATGTCCACAACCTCCAACAGCTGATGATGAAGAAATTGTATGATATTTCTTACACATTTAAAATAATTAAATCATTTGTATTTTAGTTTAAATATGATTTATATACACGTGAACAACTCTTTCAATTTTGTGATCAAGGAAAAAAATATGCCGAATGTGTTAATAAACGACTTCAATGTTGTGATTTAAAGAGTGAACATACAGGTGCATTAGCTGCTTTTGATGTTGGTCTTCAACAAAATGTAAGATTTCTCTTTTATTTGAAATTAAGGATATACAATTGTTTATATCGATAACTTTAGGGTTGGAGATTAGGTAGATACTGTGCCGGTCTTGGTGGTACTACAATTATTCAATATAAATGTAAAACAACAACACTTTCACCAGCTAGAACAACTACAACAACAAGTACAACATCATCAACGATGTCTCCATGTGAAGTTGAAGAAGTTAGTTAAATTAAATCTTATTTCTAATAATTCTATAAGAATAAATACTTAGGCTGGAAAAGAATGTAATGATATATTAGAAGAGCGACTTAAATTTGATGGAAGTTGGTCTGTACAAGAAAAAATACAGTGGTGTAAATCAGTTTCTGATTATATTCAATGTGCTGGTAAACATATAACAAATTGTTCGATAAGTGAAGTTCGTGATGATGTTGAACAACTTTCAAATTTTATGGAATATATTATGAAACAAGCAAATTTAAATTGCCATGGTAAATTAAAACAAAAAAATCATATTGATTTTGTATTTTTTCTGTTTCAGGTGGTTTTTATGGTTGTGAACATGCTGTTACTGATGTACGTTGTCGATTAAGTGCAAGAAAATTTTATAGTGGTGAAGGATTTGATTCCGGATCAAAAATATTAACCATTGAATGGGTTTTATTTTTATCGATTATTTTAATATATTTGTGGAATATTTAAAAACGAAAAACTTTATCTTTTTTTTATATAATCTATATGATTATGATGAATGAACTCTTTTAGTACAAACAAAAAAATAGAACAATAGATATAATTGTAATTAGCTTGTTTTGTTTTTCTTCTTTCAGATATCTTATACAAAACTTTTTCTAATATAAAATAGATACATACACAATAACCATGTGAATTCAAATGTAATAAAAAAAAATATTTTCTTTTCAATCAAGATAAAAATATTTTGTTAGAAAGACGATAGTGATCGAATTCTCTTGTATTTACTTGAAATGAAAAGTTTTGTTGGATGATTTTATCATTGATAATTCTGATATGTACTAAGCTATTTTATGACTTCAATGATATATATTCTATTATATAACAGAATAATAAACATGAACAGTGAAGTTACAAAGTGAAATGCACTGTTCGTTTATCTTTACAATTTTGATTGGAGTCTATCAATAAAATCAAGTTAAAGGTAAAAAAAAATATACTGCGTGGTTTTTTTTATGTCAATAAGATATTAAATGATACCGATGAAATTTGAAACTTTCTACTACTATTGATCTATAACAACAACAAAAACAAATAAGCCAGAAGGTTACTTCTAACCTATTGATCCACACGCACACACACACATCCCTCGATATGATAGAACACACAGATTTAGAAATTACAATTAGGTAAATCGAAAAAATTAAGAATTTTTTGTAATTTTTCTTTGTTTTTTAATAGTGCAAATTCAAAAGACCGTAAATGGGCAGAAAATACTGTTTTTTGGCTTATAGTTATACTTAATTTAAGCACTTGGATAGATTTAAATAGCGTTTGGATTGAATTACCATTAATAGTGAATACTGCACCAGAACGTTGGACATTACCTTCGACATTATCATTAATTATAAGTCTTGCTAATGTATTTCCACTGTTAGTTGTTATAATACGATGGAGATTAGGTAAACGTTTTTCTGAAATTCCATATATCTATGTAATTATAATTGTTGGTGTTATTGCTTGTTGTTCTATTGGTGTATTTTGGAAACATACAGCATATATATTTGGTACAGAACGTAGTTTTGCATTGATTGTCTCTGTATTCGCTCTTGGAATACTTGATTGTACATCATCACTCGTTTTTTGTGATTATATGCGACGTTTTAAAGCTAAATATTTACATGCTATGTTTTTTGGTGAAGGTTTAACAGCTTCATTACCAACTTTAATTGCCGTAGTACAAGGTGTTGGAGGTGAAGCACATTGTATATTTAATAATCAAACATTAAAACTTGAACCTGTTTATTCACAACCTCGTTTTAGTGTATCAGTTTTTTTCTTTTTTGTTACGGGTATTATAGGAGCTTCTTTGATTGCTTTTTTGATACTTCAAATGACATCAATTATTGATTTAGCTAAAGCTAATGATAAAATTCATCGAGAAGAAACTATTGAAACATGTGAAATGTTATTAAAAGTTAATGAACAGATACCTACTAAACGAAAAATATCTTTATCGACACCAAATTCAATGACAAAAAAACAATTTTATATTCTTCAAGCATTGAATGTTATTAATTCAGGTATTTTATATGGTTGTTTACCAGCATTAATTACCTATTCATTATTACCATATGGTCAAAAAGCATTTTATTATTGTAGTATTCTTTTTCCTACTGCATATCCATTATCTGCACTTTATGCTTTAATTCGTCCAACATTATCAATATTTTGGATTATTCTTGGTTCAATATTTGGTTGCTTAATATGTTGTTTTATAATAATTACTGCTTGTCAAAGTCCTTGTCCATTATGGGCGGATACATTACATGGCGGAATTATAATGATTATTGCTTGGTTTACTTCATCATTTATACTTGCATATGTACGTATTGCTAGTGGAAATCGTATTAAATTAGCATGGCCAAACGAGAATGGACTATTTTATTTTGGTTTAAGTGTTCAATTAGGAATTATATTTGGTGTTGTACCATTTTATTTACTTATTAATGTTTATGAAGTATTACAAGAAAGACTTCCATGTATGACATACTGTGTATGAATTAAGAATAGAATTAATTTGTGTTAAGTTTTGTCTATGATTTTTCTTTTATGATATAAAATCCTCTGATTCGAATAAATAGCAAAGATAAAAAATATTAAAACATTGTATTTAATTAGAAATTAACTAGTTTTTTAGTATTCTTCTTGGAGGTGAATCGAGTGCACCATCTTTTGAAATCAAATGGACAATGAAAAAAGTATAATTGAAATCTCGTTTTCATCATTTTCAAAGAACTTGATGACATCGATAATATGATTTCATTCTATTGAAAAATACAATTCTGATAAGTTTGAAAATAATCTTTTTTTTTGTTATTTCCTTGTCCTCGATTTCTTCTTTCATTCTTATATAACATCACAATTACAAAAACAAATTTAAATATTTCGTCTCAAACATCCGATATTACATCCAACATAAAGGTGTCAATCTTCTAGACATTATTATGATGAGAACAAATAAATGCTGCACCCAAAAGAAATGAAAAGATTGATTGAGACGTTCTCTATTCTATTGAATAGTAAGTCATAGCGGCACGTATACATAGACAAATATTCAACATTTGCAGATGCTTAACAAGGGATTTGCTAACGACGTACAAATGATCGATTCTTATCGTTCTTTTTCTTTTCATATGAAATTTCAATGACCAATAAATAAAACTCATATTTTTCGAACAATTTCCGTCAACGAAATCAAATCATTTTCTAACACATTTCACATTTATTTACTTAGAAATTGCATTGCTCGATAGTCTTTTTCTCATTGTGTCAATTTATACAATTTGTTTTTGTTTTAGCATTGATTAAGAATGTGAATTACTTCCGGATATAATCATCCCATAGTATATTTAATGTGTGGATGAGAAAAGAAAAAAATAGTTTATTTCGAAGCCAGCCATTATACAATGAACTACATACATACAACACAAAAAAAATGAAAAAAGGAATTCCTTTGATTTTATTTTCGCAATTTATATTTATCACAGACCATCGAATGAATTAAATTAAAAATCTATCCTGTCCACCATGGATAATGATAATAATTGGTCTGTGGATTTGAATAATCAGTTGTTGTTAAAGAAGATTCTCCTGTTGTTGTTGTTGTTGTGTCCCAAATTGATGATGGTGAAGAATGTTGTAGTGGGGGTGGTGGATGTGTTGGTAATGGCAATGGTAAAGACGTATTATTGTGTCCTTTTTGTTTCTATTTAAAGAAAAAAAAAAGAAAGCTAGAAATTTAATAATTTAATTTCTCACTAACCTTTCGAAATTTTGCTCGTCGATTTTTAAACCAAACTTTAACTTTTGCTTCAGTTAATTCTGTTTGTGCAGCAATTTCTTCTCGAAAATTTACATCTGGATATATATTATAAGTAAATGTCATTTCAAGATGTTGTAATTGACTTGATGTAAAATGTGTACGTAAACGTCTTGGTCGTTTATTATTTTCATTTGGACTTTTAACTTTACAATTTGATTCTGATATTGATGGAGATATTAAATCTTTTCGATTTTCATTTGATATATCAGAATTTGAATTAATACTTAATGGTTCAATGCGTGATGATGTTGACGATGATGACGATGATGAATAATATTGTGGATAGAAAATATTCGTTGGTTGTTGTTGTTGATAATAATTAAAATCATTATTTGATGATGAATGAAAACAATATTGTGGGTAATATTGTTGTTGTTCTTGATGTTGAGTATAAATGTAATTATTTGAATCAAATGAAACATCATTTAAACACGTAAATGATTGTGGATAATTATTATTATCAGATTGTAATAGATCATTATGAATAGAAGATGATTTATCTTGTATATTCATTATTCTAAAAAAAAGGGGGGAGTAAAACTTTTCGATCGATTATTACCAATTGATTATGTACTTTTATGATGCTATTGAAAAAGAAAACGACGAGTGGCATTGAAAATATAAGTACTGACTTCTCCTTCCTCTTTTCCTTTTCTTTTTCTCTCTGCCTCTCTTTCTCTATTACTTTATGTCAACATGATTGGTCTTTTTCGTTTTGATTGACCAATAGAGAAATATATATATGCATGTATGAATTTTAAATCAAATTATCTTACCATTTCTTAGATTCTTTAATTCATTTTCTTATTTATAAATACTGCTATACATGACTATTGATCAAGATATACATCAGAAACGAATGCAAATACTATCTATTCGTAGTGATAATTGAAAAACGATGATTAATTTCTTTTTCTATCTATGTCGCCGCATTTCTAGATGAAGAGAAAAAGGAAGAGAAAAAAAATACGCCTCTATTTGAACAGGACAACGGTGTGTATCTGAGTATCTGCTTTCACAATATGATAGATGAGAGACAAAACGACCGATCTAGTTGTGTATACATTCGTTTTACGATCAATGCACGACGTTGATTGGGGATTAGTTGTATAATGGAAATATATATATATAGAATGAATAAAAGACCTATGAATATGATTTAAACAGATACGTATCTGCTGGTATATAAATGTAAAAGTAACGTCAGTCGTTGGTATATTCATATTTCAAAAAGATGATAATGATGAGAGAATATTAAAGAAAGAAAGAAAGAAATTAAGAGCAATGAAAGTTTTGATTTTATCGAATAATTTAATAAAATTTTTATTTGGTATTGATTTACCTGACGCTATATAGAAAAAAGTAAAAAACAAATGATAAAATCAACTGTCATTCCTTTTTAATACTTGAAATAATCTTTGAAATTTTCTTTCACAATTTGTAAAGTTTTGTATTTCATAGTTGTATCAGACAGTGGGCCATCATTTTCCTCATTTCTTTAGAAAATAATACAGAATAATAATTATTATCTTCGTCATATTTAAATGAATTAAAATAATTGGAATTTGAGCAAGTTGTTAGAGTATTTTGTTCAAGTCTTAAAAATGTAAAGCTATGAAACATCTATGTAGAATCTCTCGTCATCTCAAAATTCTTACACAGCAGACTTCAGAATTTTGTATACTTATGCCCTATCAACCAGTCCATCAATTACGAGGAAATAAAATAATGTTAAGAATACTATTTCTTCAACAGAATTTTAAATAAGTTATAAAATTCTGAATTCTGCTAAGTAAGAATTTTGCAACTGCTGATTGAATCATGCATTCCAAGACTGTTTTACTAACGGAACATCATAACACTACAGAATCTAGAGAGGAAAGTTTCGGCAATATTGTTTGTTTTATATTATTATTAATTTTTTATTTTGATGCATGACGATAAAAATTCTTATATATTTATGTAGTCGCAGTCTATTACCATATTTTAAAATCAATGAGATAGATTTGAATACACATATTTCAGCTAAGACACGCGTAATTATGAAAAGTTTGAATTTTTTATTTATTTTTAGGTTTATCTAGAAGGTAAATTTGTTGTAGATCTTGATAAAAATATTGATATCGCTAAAGTAACACCAAGTTGTCGTGTTGCATTAAAAAATGATAGTTATACATTACATAAAATTTTACCAAATAACGTGACAAATAGAAAATCTATTTTATTTATATTTCTATGATTTGAGGCTGATCCATTAATTAATTTAATGGTGGTAGAAAAAGTTCCTGATTCTACCTATGAAATGGTGAGTGGTCTTGATAAACAAATAAAAGAAGTTATTGAATTACCAATTAAACATCCAGAACTATTTGATGCTTTAGAACTTAGTCAACCGGAAGTAAGATTTCTTTTCTTTATGATTAATTTATTTATTGTTGAACAGTCTGTTATTACATACAAAAAAATAAATATGCTAAGACAAGAATCTTTTATTAGGATAATAATATCATCGATTTTTATGAGGGAATATTGACCCAAGTAGAACAAAATAGATTTATATCAAATGATAAGATTTTATTCTTAATAAAATATTTTTCTTGTATAGTTAATTGAAAATATCCAAGAATAATGTCAACAGGATACGACTATGGACATGTTCAATGTGAATAAACAGAATTTAATAAAATATACTTATTATTAATACTTGATCGGTTGATTTATTATTGAGAAAAATAGAATAATAGTAGTTATTCTAATTTTTACTTTTCTATTCTTTTATCGTAAAATATACTCAGTATTTTTATGTGCACGTACATTCCCATCTATTAAAAACCATGGTGGATAATAATATTCACGTCTTGAACATCCTGATGGATAAATTTTATCATGAATTACTTCTCCGCCAGCAAGATAACCTGTCCACCATCCAAATGTTCCACCAGTTATAATTGAATGTTGACAAAGTGAAAGAATTACTAGATCATCACCAATAGAATATGCTCCAGGTGTAAGAAAAATATTTGATTGCTTACGAAAGAGCCTTTTACAATAAGGTTTATCATCACTAGTAACTATAAAATGGGCGTTTGGATAGCGCATAGTATAATATTTGATAGCATCGAATAGATAAGCATCACTTGAAGAAAAACGTAAATCTACAAAATCTGAACGGCGTATATGAATTCCAATCCATGTAGTCGAATTTAATTGAGATAGTTGTCTTTTGAAGGATTGATGATTTTCTAATAAAAATTGAGGTCTATAACCTCGTTTTCGTTGATAAAATTGAATAAAAAAATTCGAAACTTTCTCAAGTACTGATTGTGATGCAACAAAAATACGTTGTCGAAGTTCTTCATCATATTTAGCAAAATGTAGATATGATTGCCAATAACCTATGAGTTCAAACATTGTTCCTGATGGAATTGCATTTGGACGAGTTAATGTTGTAATATAATCACAAGCAACGTTCTGACTAATTCTATTCATTGATTTTGAACTGTTACTAGTAAATGAATTAAATGTCGATGACGAGATAAGTAATGGGGACAGATCCAGAATAAATACTGATTTCAATTCATTGATCATTTTTAATTCTAGATATAAATGACAAGAATGAAGACGAGCAAGACCATAAGCACTTGCAACTAGAAACATTCGATTACCCAAACGACCAATTGTACCTTGAATAGAAACGATACATGCAATTTTTTGTTCTGATGAAATATTTTGGCTTTTTGAAATATTTTGTTCGAATGAAATATTTTGACTTGTTGGAATAGTTTGATTTTTTAAAATAATAACATTAATTGATGGTACAACTTTTATTTTCATAATATAGAAACTGATAAAAATGATTATTATCATAGTAATAGAAAGTAATAAAATTGTATTGTATTTGACTGATAAAAAATTACATTGACATGCAAACTTCATCTTAAATTAGAATTTTGAGTAATATAATGTGTAAGTTTGACAGTAAATCAAATGTTTTTGTTAACTATTATTAACTTGACAAGAAAAAAAATAAGAAAAGAAGATCATATGTGGTCTTAGAATATAGAACAAGCTGAGATGCATTTGTTAAGAAAAAAAATCAAAATCATATAATCTTTTAAAGTTCAAAAAATAGAAAATATGGTTTTTGTTTATCTGACAATATTTGTTAAAACTTTTCATAATGTCAGAATGAGAAAGGTAATGCTAGATTATGATCGTCTGATATGGTTTGAATAGATAAATAAATTGATTTGATTTATTTTCTATAACTATAAGATTCTTAATAAGCTGTGACAAGTTGCTAGAGGAATGAGTCTAATATTGATTATTTTAATATAATATCGCAGTATTTTATACATATTTTTGTATAGTGAAAAACCTATCGAACCAACCTAGGTCGAACATGCTCTGTCGTAAACGAGAGTATAAGATACGGGCAAAATATGATCGTAATACTAAGACAGGTAATACGTCAAAATACGGCGAAACACGACCGTATACGAATTTCGTACTCTTCGACCTAAGTAAGTGCAAAAAAATGGAGCAAAGATGTTCTGTAGGATGCGATAGCTACATATCTTTTAAGTAACTACCAACATGCAGAAAACGTTTTAAAAACACTCACTTTCACGACATTTTCAATGACGAGACTCAATTCTTTATCATGAAATTTTACTATAAAAGTTCGATCAGATATGAGAGAAAAGGTTTGAAATTTTTGGCTATCTTATGATTGAACAAAATATATAGAGAAGTCTGAATATATGCGGATTAGTCTCCATTAAAAAATATAATATCGAGTAAATCTACTCAATTTTATTTTTATTGCGAGATAGAAAAACTCTAACATTAATGAACTTTTTCGCATCATATCTAAATATTTTTATGAAAGAGTTCATCAAAACTTCTCCATATGAACTTTTCTCGCTAAAAAGTATATTGGGGGTGTAAGCTTTCCGGCATGGTAGCTCAAGTGTCAAGATTTTGAACTAAGTAAAATAATTAAAAGATGAGATGTAACTATTATGCATATAAAATAAGTATTAATCAGTTGAGCAGTGTACCCATAGGTATAATGTGTTTTTGCAACATACTACCTTTATATGATATTCTCCTTTTGATGTAACCTCGATTGTAGTATATATATATATATATATTTGTATTTTCTCCTGTTCTCTTCTCTTTTCTTCTCATGCGTAGCGAGTAACTTGTTGTAACAACTACATAAGTACGTGCAAAAGAAAAAGAATAATACAACTAGACAGTGAAATAGTGAAGTGAGCACCATATAATGACCCGTAAGTTGCCGTAAACGATGACCGTTTACGTGTCAACAGCAACGGTGGTTGACACAACTATCATTTTTCACCGTTGCTGAGCCTCGTTGTGTCTATTACGCAAAATCGCTATTTATGTGTTGAGGGTGTGGGTGTAGGTGTGGGTTTTGTTTTTTTTACACACACACTCACACCCTTGCCTATGTATTAAATAATAAGCTAGTCAATAATTATGCCGGTCTACCGGTCTGGCCAATTCCTATCGGTACCGGTACCGATAAGAAAAAAACCCTACCGGTTCTAACTCTGCTTAGTTGAATTCAAATGAGGGCGTGGCAAATCTCAAAATGAAACCGATTTTGAATAAACTTCTACTTCTGATTTCTGATTTTTACCAGAAATTTATGACACTACTTCATTACAAGTTACTCAGAAATCAGAAGTTCCCTTCTTAAACTTCAAAAACTTTAAAATTTTGAAATTCTAATGTAATATTGAGATATTTGTCTTATCTATATAGGGACGTCATGGTCAGAAGCAAAGTAGAAATCAGAAGTTTACTTTTTGAATTTTAAAATTCTAGTGTAATATTGAGATGTTTGTATTGTCTATATAGGGACCTCATGGTCAGAAGCAAAGTAGAAATCAGAAGTTTACTTTTTGAATTTTAAAATTCTAGTGTAATATTGAGATGTTTGTATTATCTACATAAGGACCTCATGGTCAGAAGCAAAGAAGAAATCAGAAGTTTACTTTTTGAATTTTAAAATTTTAAAATACAAAAAGTAAACTTCTGATTTCTGCTTTTCTCCTGACCCTGGGGTCTTCATAAAGATGATACAAAAATGTCAATATTATAGAAGAATTTTAAAATTTTAAAATTCAAAAAGTAAACTTCTGATTTCTGCTTCTCTCCTAATCAATGCGATCACCATATAAAAGAATTTTAAAATTTTCAAAATTTTCAAAAACTGAAATTTTCAAAAATTAACATTTTTAAAATTTTGACTTGTGGAATTCAAAATTTGTATCAGTTTGATATTTGCCACTCCATGATTCAAATCGAATATAATAATATGCATTGCATCAAATTGTATACGTTTTTATATTTGTCTCGTTGACAATTTAATTTTAATAAAATAAAATAAATTTTTGAAATAATATAGTTAAATTGTTAAAGTATTTTAAATTATCATATGAGAAATAATTCTAATTGATATCTACTTTTTCTTTCTGGTATATATCATGTTAATAGTTTTGTCGAGTAAAATTTTATACAAAAATATGATAGTGAATTCTGTGATTATCTGACATAATTTTTAAAAGAATTCTTTACAATCAATCAAGCACGAGAATAATAAAAAACTGTTTATTAGAATGAACATTTAATTCTTATTTTCACGACAAACTGTTTCTGCCTTTCTAATACAAATCTTTCGAAGAGTACTTGATTGTCACGCAAAGATTACTGATATATAAAAGTTAATATACCATATCGATTAATTGATATCGTCATTTTCATTTCCGTTATTGAGCATTGATATTTTTGAATTTCACTAGAGTAATTATAAACAATAGAACTAGTACAGAAATATATATTACAACAATTTTACTATGCATTCCTTTTATCCTTTAACATTTGTTATATAGAAAAATGTGTTTTTTTTATCGTTAACCATTTTGTCACATAGTTATTAACATATTAAAGTTATACATGAGTTGCTAACAGCATTTTAAGATCAAATTTTATTTCTTTGGCAGAATATGAAATAAGTTACAAAATTCTGAATTCTTCTGAGTAAGAATTTTGCATCTACTGTCAAACGATAGTCGTCTTCCTCTCAGTAATTTCACAGAGGATCCATAGAAATCAAAGATTTTCTCGAACGTCATTGACGTAGACAGGTATATTCTGCACTTCTGTGTTTATGGTTATTGAAAGAAAAGATTTCTCTGGAAAATCAAGAAAATGTATTATAGTATCCAATTAATATTTGTGGAAATACACAATCAAGTTTAATTTTATAATAATAAATCTCTGTTATTAACGTATGAATGCATAGTATTGCCCTCTTTTTATATTTCTTCAAAAATGTAATTTCATCACTATGATAAAACTTATGCAAGTTTTATTTCGCAGGATAAAAATTTTTATAGTCCAATAATAGATTAGTAAATATTCACTTTTTTCATATTTATAAATTCATAATGAGTTCGACATCTAAAATATCTCGTGTAAGCATTTTATTTCAAATTTATTCATTTAAAAATATTTATACATTAGGAAGCATTACACAAATCTGTTGACGAACTATTATCCTATTCTCATAATAAACGTAAACGCAATTTTATTGAAACAATTGAATTACAAATAATTTTAAAAAACTATAACACTTTACGTGAAAAACGTTTTTGCGGTTCAATTCGACTTCCATATACAATTCGTCCTCGTCATAAAATTTGTCTCTATGGTGATGAAGAACATTGTAATGAAGCACGTACTAATAATATACCCTGTATGACTACGGAAGATTTAAAACGTTTAAATAAAGATAAAAAAAAGAAACGTAACCTTGAGCATCGTTATCATACATTTTTAGCATCCGAAACAATAATTCGTTTAATACCACGTTTACTTGGACCAGGACTTGGTAAAGCAGGAAAATTTCCAACTTTAATTACACATAATGAAACATTAGCTGGTAAAGTTCAACAAATTAAATCAACATTACGTGTACAATTAAAAAAACATGCAAATATTAATGTTGCTATTGGACATGTCAATATGACTATTGAACAAGTAATGATTAATACTAATATGTCAATTAATTTTATTATTCAATTATTACGAAAAAAATGGGCAAATATTGAAAAAATTTTTATTAAAAGTACAATGGGAAAATGTCATCGTCTTTATTAAAAGATTTTGTTGATTCATTTCGTTACATGAAAGAAAAAAAAATCAAAATTAACGCTTGAATATTATCTACAAGAAATGAACATCTGACATATATATATGTTATAGTTTATTTCTCTTATTTAATTTTTTTTTTCTTTTTCCTATTTATTATCACAGTCTTGAAATAAGTTATTCACTGTATATATTTTACAATCGACCAGATAAAGAAAATAATATATCGATTATCGATGGGGATATTTGAGCTTTTTTTGCCAAACTTAATGGTCTATAAAAATAATAATAATAAAATAGAATATAAAACAAACAAAAAATATAATTACGTACGTTTGATTTTCATTATTAACTGCTTCAACAAATGCTGAAGATGAATTTCGTCTTAAAAGACTTTCAATAACTGGTTCATTATTCTAAAAGAAAAATAATATTAAACAAATAAAAAATCTTAGTTTTCAACATACGAATATACAAGCATAATGAAGAATATTATTTTTTAAATGATCAACTGCATCAAAATGTTTACATTTAGCAAGTAACATATCTAAATAAATAATTACAAGTTAAATATTAGTAAAGAATAAAATTAAAAAATTAAGTAGAAAACTGAATTCTAGTCTAGGGTTTTACCTCCGAGGGATCAAAAACGAGCCCGGAGGAGAGAGACAAACACATATATTCAAAATTTATACCTATTATATTAGAATCGATACCATTGATAATCGCATACATAATTGGTGTTCGTTGTAAATGATCTTTTGCATCAACATTTGCATGATCATAGCGAAGTAATATTTGTATACATTCAGAACCATTTTTTGTCATCGATGCTAAATGTAACGGTGTAAATCTATGAATTAAAAATATACTCAATATTTATTTTAGTTTTTCGGAAATATTCTTACTGATCGACTTTTGTTGGTAAATTAATTATAGTTGAAATACTATCCGTTCGTAAAACATTTAGAATTGCTCGAAGACAAGTTGCATCCGCACGAATGCAAGCAAGATGAACAGGTGTTATACGACTTGTTTTTAAACATCGAAGACTAACATCAGATGCAAGAAGAATACGAACTGCTGTTTCATGTCCTAAAATTTTTTTGTTGAAAAAAAAAGTATTAAATATATATTTATATTGTTTTGCTAACCTCTCAAAACGGCATAATGTAATGGACTAAATCCATCAATATCAGCAATTTGTTCGTAATCATACTAAATATAAATGAATGTAAATAATTTAAAAATAGAATTACGTAGATTACTTACATCAGCTAAAGTTGATAATATTGTAACATTTCCACTTGCAGCAGCATAATGTAATGGTAAACGTTTATTTTTATCAACAACGTTAACTTTTAAATCATGTGCATCTAATAATTCTTGTAGACTTTCTTCACAATTATACATCGCACAGTAATGTAACGGTGTAAGTAAAGATAAATCAGTAACATTTGGATTTCCACCACCAAAATTTACTAATAAACGTATACAATTAGGAGAAGAATGTTCAACACAATAATGAAGTGCAGTTCTTAAAATAAACAATATATACAATTAAATCATTATTTAATGAAATACAAAAACTAGTTTATTCTCAATTTGATATCGTAGAATGATCACTCTTTTGATTGTTATCGTGATATACTTACTTTCCTTTCTTATCTCTAAGATCAATAATTGTTTTTAGATCATCTTGATTTGCTTGTAATTCTTGTAATAAAGCAAGTATACATTCTGTTTGTCCATTTAATGCTGCATAATGTAAACTAGTTTTTCCATCGATATCATTGACTTTTTTAATATTTACTTTCCGATGTAAAAGTAAATGAACACATGAACAATGTCCATAATAACAAGCTAACATAAGTGCAGTCATTCCATCATTCATTGTTTCATCTAAATTAATATTTTTATCATTTTCAATAAGATATTCTAATGAATTATCTTTTCCATGTAAACAAGATAAAAATATTAATTTTGATTTATCATAGATTTTATCATTTATTGAATCAAAAAGTATTTTAAGTAAATAAGTATCATTCTGCATAATACCATAAGATAAACATGTTTCACCATGTGATGTACTTATTAATACATCACTACCGGCTTGAATTAATTGTTCAATTGTATCCGATGAATAACAATAAACAAGAATATAATGTAATGGTATTGCTCCATAGGTTTTACATTTTATATTAACATCAGCGCCAAATCTTAATAAAACATCAATTGCATCAAGTCCATGCCATTTAATACTAAATAAATTTTATTTGTTAAATCAATCATCTAGATAAGTAGGTAAGAATCTTATTGAATTTGTTAAAAGTCATTATGAAATAAAGGATGAATATATTCGTAAAGGATATCTCATCGTTTAAAATAAAATCAACAACGCTAATTAAGAGTAAAAATAGAGTGTTATTATTTCGTTTAAAAGGCTCTGTCTATTTGTGTCAAATTGGTATAAATAATTAGCAGTAGAAGTACTTTTTACTTGTAATCGTCTTTCCTCTTCAAAAGTGATCTCTTTTGTATGAAAAAAAAAGATATTTACCATGCATAATGTAATGGTGTAAGACCAAATGAATCTTGTAGATTAATAATATCTTTATTCATTTGTTTAAAGTATCGTTCAATAAAAGTTGTCATACCGGAATTAGCTGCATAATGAAGGGAATGACGTCCAAATGAATCAAGTAATAATAATGAATTATGAGCTTGTTCAATTAATTTTCCTTCTTTATCAGGCATTAAATAACCAATAGTTTGATAATCAAAATTTTTTAATGCTATATGAAGTGGAATTAAATTATTTTTATTTTTTAAACATAATATATCAGGTTGATGTGAAACTAAATCTAAAAGAATACGTGATTGATTACATTTATTCATTAATATTGTTGATAAATGTAATGGTGTATTATCTTCATTATCAACTAAACTTGGATCAGCACCTGAAATACAACAACAAGAATCAATAAAAAAACCTAAAAATTTATTTATCTTACCAGCAGCAAGTAATTGATGAACGGCTTTTTCATTATTACATAAGACGGCTGTATGTAATGGAGTTTGTTTTTTAGTATTTTGTATATTAATCAATGATGTTTTTAATTTAGATAAAACAAGTTGAATAATATTTGATTCTGTAGATTTTGTTGCAGCAGCAAAATGAAGAATAGTCTTTAAAAATAAAGTCAAATTAAATTTTCTTTTTATTTAAAAATAGAATACATACATTTCCATGTTGATCTGTTTCTGTTAATTCAGGTGCTTTCGGTTGATTATTAAGTAAATCAAAAATATCTGTATCACCAAGATAAACAACAAAATGAATCGGTAAACTACCATTATGTGTTCTTGCATTGATATTAGCATTTGCATCAAGTAATTTTCGAATACAATCCATATGATTATTAATAATACAAAGATGTAAAGGTGTTAAACCCTTGAAAAAAAATAAAAATGTAAAGATTTAATCAAGCAGAAAACTAATTGAATTTACTTGATCATTGACACAATTAACATTAACATGAGCATCAAGTAAAATTTTAAATATTTCAATTGATCCTTTATATGATGCCCAATGAAGTGGATAATTTTGTTTCCGATCACTTAAATTGACGTTTGCTCCAGAATCAATTAATAATTTAACCATCTAAAAAATATGAGAATTCAAATGAAATTTATGTTTTAAAAATATTTCTTACTTCAATATTTCCACTCATACACTAAATTTATAAAGAAAAAATATAATTTTTATCAAATAATAGAAAAACAAAAAGAACTTACTGCATAATGAAGAGCAGTTAATCCATGTTCATCTGTAGCATCAACATTTATAACATGACTTATAAAAAAAGCTGCAGATGAAGCATCCGATGATAATGCACATATATGTAATGGTGTTTGCCAATGTTTATTTTGTGTATCACAGTCAGCACCATGATCAACAAGTGTCCGTACAATAATCTAAAATAAATTAGTATAGAAAATAAAAATCATCTTTAATATGTATATGTATTTCTTTACCGGACAATTAGCTTTACATGCATAAAATAATGGCGTTAATAATTGATTATCTTTCGCATTAACAAATGCTTGACGTGCACATAATGTATCACATGTTGCTACACAATTGAAAAAAGCACATAAATGTAATGCAGTTATTCCGTCAATATCCTTGAAAAAAAAATATTACAAAATTAATTTTCTAACCGTTTTTATTATTATTGCATTTACCTTTGCATTAACGTCATAATTTTTACTTATCAATGATTGAACAGCTAGATAGTCATCATCAACAGTAGCATCAAAAAGAGGTGAAAGAGGTAATAATGTTGTTGTTTGATTTAGATCGTTATCATTTTTATCTACCTCAGTAGTTTCAAACTAAAGAATTTTAATTACTACAAACATTTATGAACAATGGAAAATTAATCTTACTTTATTTAATAAAGGTGAAAGAAATGATAAAGATGTTTCAAATGAATGAGACATTGAATTTACATACTAAAATAATAATTAATAATTGTAAAATAAAAATTAAATCAATAAATAAATAAAAAAAACAAATTCCGTAAAATATCAAATGAAATAAAACTAATTCAAATATTACAAATAGTCTGCTAGTAAAACTCAAATAAGAAATGGAAGGATGTTAACTGGGGACATCTAACGAGAATCAAGTATATATATAAAGAAGAAAAAAAAATTCATTGAAATACGTATATATATATCTCCATTTAAGTACACTTTATTCATCAATAGGTATTACCTTAAGATACAAAACAAAAAAGACAATGCAAGATATTATTTTAAAAAAATAAGTTCACTATTGAGTATCATACTTGAATTTATAATGTCTGACTTCATAATCACACATTATAATAAACTTATTTCATAATATTATATCATACTAGATTTTATGTCGATACATAATAATAAATATACAATAAACAAAAACAATGGGTGGTGTTCAAGCAGGTTTAGCAAATGGTAAAATATCCATACCAATCATGGATTGTATCGTACGTGGGATTGAACTAATTGGAAGTACTGTGGGCACACGACAAGATATGCAAGAAGCTTTACAGTTTGTAAAAGTTCATAATATAACATGTAAAATATAAAAACAAAAATTAGGAGATATTAATGAAATTTTCGATGATATGATTAAATACAAAATTACTGGAAGAATCGCCTTGGACTTTACATCGAAATAAAATTTCGAAAAAATCCTACAAAAAAAAATGACATTTTATTTATTTTAAATAAAAAAAAAGCGAGCGAGAGCGTGCAAATCCTTTTGATTTATTATGTAGAATTTCACTTACACATACATCCATTCTCAAGATGATTACTCACAATATATTTCTTTTATCTTATTAAATAACATTGATTTATAAATCATAATACAAAAAATAAACGAATTTGATTCTGTTCAGAAAGGATATAATAAAAAGCTTTTGACACAGATATACTGGAGTTCATATTTCTATACTTTCAGTTTTCTATTGTAATAAGCTTTTCATGTATTATGGAAGAAAGAAGCAAGAGTAGCATACATAGAAATAGTCGTTATGAATCTCCTTGATGTTGTCCATTCAATATAGTTATGTATACTTAACTAAACTGGATTAAATTGTTGATGAAAAATGATCAATACGAAAACAAAACGATAAAAATAAAATATAATTAGGATAAAAAGTATATACTCATAAACTTTGTTGAAAAGGATTAATTATGTCGAGTTACGTTTTTTCGAGATGTTTTTTCACAAGCTATATCTCAGTAATATTAGACTTGTGAGAAATCTTTTTTTTTCAGTTAAAAAATTCAAACTACTTTTAAGAACAACACAAAAATACCATGGTTCTTTTTATTAAAACAGAAACATCTTATTGACTCTTTTTTCTGAAAGTAATACTTGTGTAAAGTAAAAAAAATATTCGACTTGATACAACAAAAAAATATAAATTCTCTTTCTTTTGGTCAAAATAATATATGAAGTCTTTCATATATTAAAAAGTACAAATTATGACTCTTTTCTTTATAATTGTATAAGATCTATCATTATGATGCACATCATAACTTACCAAAGGATGATCAGATCAAGCTAATATATTGAATTTAGTAATAAATAAAATATAAGCTTTATTTTAAGTTTGTTAAATCTAAAAAGAATTTTCTCTAGTCATGTTATCTGGTATTCTATCATTTAATCTTTAATTATTTTTCTCATGGGAATAATCATTTATCAACACTATTCTCTTTGCCATTTAAATTATTCGCCAATAAAAAATGCAAACTTCCAAGATCATTTCTTTGTCTTATCCATAGATCAATAATGAATCAATCACAAATTATAACCTCTAATTATATAAATATAAATGTTTTTCAAAAGTTTCTTTTATTAAAAAAATGTTTTTCTTAAATACTAATGACCGTTATCAAATCGAAGTGTCAAAAAAAGAAACTTTCTTTTCGTTGAATTATTCATTTAATTATCAATGCATTTAAAACTAATTGATTCCGTAAAGAAATTCCAAAGCAGTCTATTTAAATATCGATTCTTTCTTTTTGTTTAAATTAGTGAACATGTACACATAGATCGCAACGTAAGCAATTCGACATTTACTTTGTCTATGTAGAAAATAGAATAAGAGAAAAAGAATGAAATAATCATATTTTATGTTACCCATTGTTTTTAATGATAAATACATTATTCGAGGGTCACTCTTTACAATATGATTGATACTGACAATTTTTCTTTTTTCTTTTATGCAAATGTATTTCTGTTTATTCGCTCGTCTGAGTTCGATATTCTTGTAGACTACAAGTACATTCTGGTCATTTCAGTCGATACACGATATATTTATTAAATAATTTTATCCTTTTCATTTATTAGAGAGACGAATATATACTTTTGACTAAACCCGTATAGTTTACTTTTCCGCTTTTAAATTACTCGAATTAGCTTTCTATTTTTTTTACTTTTTCAATTAAAATTTTATCTATTTTTTTCAGATATATATTACAATGTATCGTGTATTTGTTTTCATAATAAGAATCTTATTAATTATTCTATTAGAGTAAGTTTTTTAAATATAATTATAAAAAATAATGTTTTTTTGTTTTAGTTGTAGTAATACAATTACCCAGGACGATGGTTCCTGAAGCAGGATTTCATGAATTTCCGACGAAATCCCTGAGGAAAATCGCCATTTTGAGCGAAACCCGCTCGGAAAATGTCAGGAATTCGATGGAGAAGTAAGGTAACCGTATCCGGCTGCCGGCTCTGACATGTTCCTGTAGGTTCCAGCCTGAACCAGATAAATCCGGTCACCGAATCCGTTCAGCGGGAATACTGCTTCCATGAAATCTCCGGAATACCACGGAACCGGCCGTTTCCGTGCCGGATTATTCGACCTGGGTAGCTTTCTATTTTTTTTTACTTTTTCAATTAAAATTTTATCTATTTTTTTCAGATATATAATAAAATGTATCGCATATTAGTTTGCATTATAAGAATCCTCATAATTATAGTATTACAGTAAGTTTTTTAAATATAATTATAAAAAATAATGTTTTTTTCTTTTAGTTGTAGTAATACAATTACCCATGACGATGGTTCCTGAAGCAGGATTCCATAAATTTCCGGCAAAATCTCTGAGGAAACTCGCCATTTTCGGGCGGGTTCCGTCCGAAAAATGTCAGGAATTCGATGGAGAATTAAGGTAACCGTATCCAGCTGCCGGCTTTGACATGTTCCTGTAGGTTCCAGCCTGAACCAGATAAATCCGGTCACCGGATCCGTTCAACGGGAATACCGCTTCCATGAAATCTCCAGAATATCACGGAACCGGCCGTTTCCGTGCCGGATTATTCGACCTGGGTAGCTTTCTATTTTTTTTTACTTTTTCAATTATAATTTTTTCTATTTTCATTTCAGATTTGTTACGCTATGGATAATTTTCAAAATACTACAATGTTTTTGTTCATTGTATTGCTAATAAAAACCGCAAATGTATACAAATCAATATGTTGTTTATTAGTATTTCGAATAGCAACATTGTAAGTTTTTTAAATATAATTATAAAAAATAATGTTTTTTTCTTTTAGATATAGTAGTATAATTATAAATAAAATAATCGAAAAAATAAAAAGATGGATAAACAATCATACAACCCCACTAAATATTATACATAACGGGGATTTTGATAATAGTAAGATATATATAAATTAAATAAATATATTAGTAGGAGCACCCCAAGGTTCAGTTCTTGCTGTGACGCTATTTAGATTACATATTCATTTTTTACCTAAACACTTCTTTTGTTTTTGCTCTCATTTATTTGCTGATGATTTAGCTTTTCTTATCAAAGGATCATTGGAAAATAAATTATCTCAAAATATAATAGAACTTGAGAAACAAGCAGAAATAGCGATGCAACTGCTTTCATCATTTTCTAAAAACTATATTCTACCTGTTAATGTTAAAAAGACGAAAGCTATGCTAATACATAGTGCAGTAGCTCCTAGAGAACCAAAAGTAGTCTTTCAAGATGAAAAAATAGAATTTGTGTCATGTTTTAAATATTTAGGTATAGAAATTCGAACTAAATTAGGCTGGGGAGACTATATAAAATCTCGCATGATAAAAATTAGAAACATATAGAATGTTTGAAAACTAATTTATAAGCAAATTCCAATGAGTATGACTGATGTACATAAAAAATATTTTTACGCTTTTGCACTTCCTCACTTTTTATGGTTGTTTGTAACTTGGTTTTATTATACTGATAATCAACAAAAAGAAATTGAACATCTATATGCATCCGGTCTTTGTATTGTATATAATCTTTGGGGTTGGGACGACTACAGTATATGTGTAATGTCGAGAGAAAAAAGTATTTTAGATTATCTCTACAAATACTGGTTAAGGACGATGGTTCCTGAAACAGGGTTCCATGAATTTCGGGCAAAATCGCTGAGGAAACTCGCCATTTTCAAGCGGAACCCGTCGCGAAAATACCAGGAATCCGATGAAGAAGTGAGGTAACCGTATCCGGCTGTCGATTTCGAGATGTTCCTGGAGGTTCCGGCCCAAACCGGATAAATCCAGTCACCGGATCCGTTCAACGGGAATACTGCTTCCATGAAATCTTCGGAATACCACGGACCCGACCGTTTCCGTGCCGAATTGGTGGACCTGGATAGTAATACAATTATTAATAAAATTGTTGGAAAAGTTAGACGATGGCACATGAATTATACGACGCCAATCAACGCAATCCATAACGGCGATTTTGACAATAGTAAGTTATATATAAATTAAATAAGTATGTTTTCAATATTTATTTTTAGACGAATTTGTACCTCACGATGATATGGGCCGCTGATTGTTTGTCCTCGTCCTGTCTTTGTTCGTGTCGTTGTTTGTATTCGTCCTGTCATCCTTGTGTTCTTATTATTATTTTCTTCTTTAAAATCTCCAATTTGTTTTTTGTATCATCTTCTAATTGAATAAATATTGAATTATATTTTGATGAACTTAATTGATGAATTCCTTTTGTTGATTTTACTATTTGTGTTGAAGGGTATTTTGAATGAATTTTATTTAATGAATTATAGTCATATAGATAATGATAATTCATGAGCAGTTGTTTTTAATATTTCTTGAATATTTTGACTTGATTCAACCAAATGTAAATCTGAATGACATACACCACAAGCAATATTTTTGACTAGAACATCGATTGATCCTACTTTAGAAATTGGTACTTGTTTGATTTCCAAATGTTCTGTAAAACCCGTTACTACAGCAGCTTTCATCATTTTTTACACTAAGAAAAAGTGAGCATCGAACAAAACTAATATACGCTTGATTTATTCTATCTTTCACATGTATTTTTGGAATGCGTTGATTCGTCCTTTCTTTATTCTGTACGACAATAGCAACTTATTGACGGAACAATACACAGAGTTAACTAGTACGTTGATGACTATCGAAAACATTATAAGTGACGACATCGAAGATGAAACTGATTTTTAAAAGCTCATAATTACGACACATAAACTATATGACTAACAAAGATTATTTATAATATAATATTAAATTCTTCTGATGAACTATAGTCAAAGAATTAAACTTAAACTAAACAGATGATTCAACGCTACCTCTCATTTGTATTTACGCTCCAGTGGTTACATCAGGTACGTTACTTAGTACTTTCGGTGTTTTTACTTTAGTACAGTCGTACTAAGCACTTTATACGATCCTCTATAATTCAACAAAATTCTTCTGTGAATGTTTTTATATATATTGTATGCCAGTTATTTATTTCAGAGGATCTTTCTAAATTCCAGGTTTTAGTAAATAATTAGAAATTTGGTGAAAAAAAATCATTCTTTACCATTAAACCACGAATGAGAAAGGTTTATGTCGTTTTGTGAAATTACTAAAGATTCCCATTTTGTGTTTATAAATTTGTCGACATAATTTGCAATATCCATTGATTCGATTACTGTCAATTTCAGAAAACCATCTTGAGAGTAGGTGTTGAAATATCTACTATAGGACGCACTCTCGTACTATAGACATTATCTTATTTTTATTTTTTTGAAGCTAAATAAAATACCGAACCTACATTTTGAATTTCACTTACGAGGTGCATACGAGCATGTAAGTTATTGATATAAATTCGATGAATACGGAATAGACTATGCGTAACACAGATGTGGATTCGGTAGAATTATGAGTAAATATTTTTTGTACAGGTCCAGCACAAATACGAGAACTTGTACTAATTCAATGCTCTAATAGGTGGTCATTAGTAACTATGAACAAAAAAATAAGTTACGTTTGAGTAGATAACAGTTTGGTTGATTACAAAAGAATTCTTGCATATGAACTAGTTATTTCATACGCATCGATTCTTGATGTTTAATAATGAGAATCATACAGACAGGAAAATACAATATCGTTATCGATCAACAAAAGAATTTAGAAAAAGATTTTTCTTATACAATACGAAACTGGCAAAGACAAATAATCATATAAGCTTTTTTTAATGATTTCAGTTCGAAGAAATTTAAAGTGTGTAGGATATATATTCGTTTATAATGTCTTGCAGACACAAACTGGAAAGTAAAAAAGAAAAAAAAGCCATTGGCACATAAAAACGATAGTTTCTATATTTAACTTTATTTATTTTATGGTTTAACTTTATATGTAAATATAGTTTTATTTAATAAATGAAAATAATGATATTCATCGATATAAACAATAAGAAAACTATTTTTCAAGCCAAAACTGAATAGTATCATCAGAAACATAGATACATTCAGATCGACAGTTTTTCTTTTCAACACCAGCAAGTTCTTCTATTACGGTGCTCTCAAATAATGAATGTGGATTTTTGAATCTAATTGTCATTGTTTCTAATTTATTCATATTACAACAAATTTGGCAAATATTAGAAACAAACTTGTTGTTATAAATTGATTGAGAATCCAATTCTTTATATTCTATAATACGAATGTCACGCAACGATGATGAAGTATTCAATTGAACAATCACGCTTAAAGTATCTTCATCTAGAGGGATATCCAGCTGACGCACAATAAGTTCTTCAAGGGATGAAAATCGATTGATTGTACCACTATGATTTATTGTTGGCACAAGTTTCAATAACATTTGTGTATCAATATTCAATAATCGAAGATGTGGCATCCAATTAAGCCAAGTCATTGTGGTGCTAATAAGTTCTTCTCCTGAAAAATATATAGAAATTTTACAAATGAAAAAAATTTACAATTACAAATCAACTAAATTCATATCAGGACTGTTTCACTCTATGTGAATCGATAGGACAAATCTCTCTGTGCTCTTTGCAAGAGTGTTGCTTACTAGAATACTCTTTGAAATAAAATAATTCTGCCTGACATCATTAAATAAAACTGAAACAAATTCTGACATATTTACTGGAATGATTTTGAATAAATGGTACCAGTTCGAGTTGATCATATTCTACCAGGTGATTTTTATTTTGTTCTAATTGATAAAATGTACGTGGTATAAGTCCCAGTGTATGTCCCATATTTAAAAAATATTCTATCAAGTGATTTTGATTTTGTTCTAATTGATAAGATGTAAGTGGTACAAGTCTGAGTGTATGCCCTATATTAAAAAACATTATGTACAATATATGAAGATAAATATAGATAAAAAATGATGACAAGCAGTGTACCTCGATAGTTGCCTTGTGTTAAAAAACTAATGCATGATGAGCTCAACTTTTCGTTTTGTTCAATACCCAAATACAAGTTACGACTTTTTTTAATTAACATTGGTATTAAAATATTTAGTTGAGATTCTGGTTGATTAAATTGTGTATCCATTATATCAGTCGTAACCACAAAATATTCAGAGAATACATAAGGCAGTGAAAAAATTACATAACATTGATGTAATCTATCATAATGGCATCCAATTAGCATAGATCGCCAATATTCTAAAAATAAAATTCAATTAACAATACAAATGTGAATATATTGATGAAACATCTCTCTCGGACTATTATTTGACTAGAAGAAGAAGATGATGGTTATGATACTTGGTCTTTTCAGATACTATTATTGAGGTAAGATGCTGACAACAGCATTGTTGTCTAATGTAGTTTATTTTTTTTTATAGCTAACAAGCATAATTCAAAATTGAATCAGTTTTCATGAACCAATCGTGTTCAAATATTGCTCAGGCTTGTCCAGCTCAATCTCTATAAAATTATAACCTAACCTAAATCAGTTAGGTCCAACTCTAATTATAAATATACTTCTTGTACAGTATATAACAAAATTAGAAACTCCGCTTATATATTCATACACAAAAATGTTAATTATATTTCAACAACAAATGATATTGATCTGCTATCAGTATGTCTACGTAATACTAGATATGTGCTATCCAATACTTTAATCTCTTCCTCTTTCCTCTCTTGGTTTTTGACGAAAAGATTGGAGAGAACTGAAAAATCACTGTAACATAATTATCAACCTCCTTTGGAAAAAAATATTTTCTCATATTTTAAAGCATGCCACATCTTCAATTTCAAGATCTTATGACAACATTAATTGTTCTCTATCTTTTCCATTGCATTTGAGATTTTATCAGAAATGTTTTACGTGTAAACTTCAAGATTTTAGACATTTTCTGAGCTTTAACCATTATCTAGCCAAATACTAGCAGAAAATAGCACGTTCATTGATTTCTATCTATCTATCTAAAAGTAATAAAATAGATGTGATTTCTCTGAATAATAGTATTCTAATAATATAGATGGTAATGGATCAAAACTTTCTGTTTTTAATATCGAGCAGAACATTCTGCGCCGAATACTATACGTTTTGATTTTTTTCGATAAAAGTGATACATCTATAATTGCAAAATAGTATAAGTATCTTAAATTTATGGCTGCTCAAATAGAAGTATTTTCGTTATAGTTCATGTAAAACATACACAGAAAACTAGTTTTAATAATTATTTACATTACATAGTCTTTCACAAGGTTTTTATAATGACGAAAGAACGATGTGAGTAGCTATGTCATGAGGTTATTGATACAATAAAAATGTGTTAAACTTATATTCACTACTGTACAGCATTTTTCCTTTATAAAGACGGAAGAACCTTTTGCAGTATTATTTATGGTTCAAAAAAACTTCCTTTTTATGTTTGTGACTAAAAATGTTAATTAAAGACAATATTCGATAAAAACAAATTATTTCATGACTGGATTGTAAAAAGACAAATGACAATAGTTATAAGTTAAATAGTTCTGACTTACCTGATTGAAATGATTTAATGATCAAATATGTTCGCTGACTAGAAAAACAACCTGTTTTGATGCAAAAATTGATTTTTTCTAATTTTAACATGTGAACTAGAAGTTTATCGAAAAGAACATTTCCATCAATATACACTAATGAATAACGAGAAGCTGAATCTCTATGAACAAAAGCTAGATCCATATGAGTAAGAGTATTACGAAACAAAAGAATAAAGTTCACAACACTTGGGAAGTATTGCACAGTTCGATATATTCTAAATATAGACAAAAATATAAGGATATGTAATGTTTCTTTATTGAAGTTATTTACCGCAAAGTTAATTTTTTTAAATAAATACATGGACAAATGCATGAAATAAACAGATCATTGTCACTATTTGTAATATTTGAGGATATATGAACATCTATAATAAAAGAATATCCTTCAAATTGTAAGCTCAAATATGTTAAATATTTATATTCGAAGCATATAGTAGTGATGTAACAAAAAAAATCTTGGATCTTAGAGTTGTGTTCGAAAATTTTCAAAAAAGAAACTTATATTTGTGACAATAAAAATTATAGTGAACAAGTGAATAATTCTCCCTATAGTGGTCTGTAATGCCGAACACAACCTAATGCATACAAAATCAATGAAAATAGTCGCAGTGACAAGTCGATTAAGACTAATTTTTCTAGAGAATGAAAAAACAAGTTAAAAATTTCGGATTAATCCCTATCGACTACGTTTTTTCGATTCATTAGAAAAAATTTTTAAAAAAGTTTCACGAGTATCGTGGTGTTCTGATTTCTAGTAGATCCTCTATTATTTATTTACTGTAGTCTAGAAATATTACAGACTTTTCTTGTTAATTTACTCCAAATTTAATATTGATAACATACCAAGTTTCAAGAGTTTTGGAAGAAATTGTAGTAAATTTTTCAGTGTGAGAAAATCGTGCATGCCGATTCGAATATCAGTAAGAGATTGTTGTACTTGATAAGATGATGGAATGGGTTCGTATAAAATAACACCATTTATTCGATCAATACCGTCAAAAATACAACTCTGTAATTGACTTTTGTTATGATTAAGAAGATTTGAACATATTAAAGATGATGATTTTTTTAATGAACATCTTGAAACCCATACATGTTGTAGAAATGGAATAGCTGACAAATATGGTTCAAGATCATCAGAACTCATTTCAGGAATATTGCATAATACAAGTCTTCGTAGCTTTGGAAACATTTTTAAAATTGATAAAGAAGCTATAATAAAAAAATAAATAAAGTTAATAAAACTTTTCTCTATATTTTTAATATTAAGATTATCTTAATATAAATATGCTTCAAAAGAAAATGAATCTGAAATTAATTTTAAAAGATTACAATGAACTACATATAAAAGAAGATTTATCTAGAATTTATTGATTTATCTTTGTTTAAATAAATATCTATAATATTTTAAATAAAGAGAAAAGCAATAACAGCGATAATAAGAATACTTATTTTCATTGTTTAATTTGGATTTTTAAAATACTAGTGTATTATAAAAAGTAAGTTGAAGAAGGAAATTATTTAAATTTTCAATCATTTCCATAGATTATAACATTCAAATATCATTCAGTTAATTCAACTTTCAAATAAACTTAGTTTTTTCGTCTTTTTCACATTAATTTATGGAGTGAGAGCTGCTATCGCAAAAAAACTACTTTTTAGTTCTAGCATATGCTTTTTCTAAACGAAAAGTATAAAATACTCGAACAGTATAGTTTTTTTGCAGCCGTACATCTTTTTTTAAATTCAGCATTAATAACTAAGGATAAACAAGCTATTAAATCAATTCTAATCTCAAAAGTCATATAATGATAGCAGTAAAAAATGCACCAGGTAAATCATATATAGATACATTTTGTAAATCTACGTAGTTTGATATATAAACGATCGAATCAAATATGTTAAATCATTCAACTCATCGTAAATATCAGCTAGTCACAAAACTACGATTCACTTAACATCTTTCTTTTTTTCCATGTAGGGTGTGGGTGGGTGTCGATCTTTGTGTGGACACTGTAATCATCTAGCACACCCACAGCCTCAAGATGGAATCTCCATTATCAAAAACTTTTCGAGATTTCAATTGATTTAAGGATTTTTTTATACTATTTTTTGATGCCGAGTATGAAAAAGATTTGAGTTGCTGAGAAAGAAGAAAGGAAAGGAAAATCTTTGTATGATTCGAAAAAGATGTTTCTCAGGAAAAAAAAACTGCATTGTTCAAACTTTTTATATTTTTCTGCTTGAAAAAAACATTTTTTAGCGCTAAAAGATAGTTTTTCGCGATAACAGCTCTGGTTCTATAAAATGACGTTAAAAAAGGTGGAAAAAATTAAGTTAAAGCTTAAATTGTCGATATCTTACAAATGAATATCAATAAGACTAACCTGGACGCATTTGTGTAAAAAGACGAAATTGAGAATAAGAAAACTGATGGCCAAGTTTTAGTGTTTCTACATTCAATCGAATTTTATTGAATAAATGAGAACAATAAAGTTGAAAAGTTGATAATGATGTTGTACGAAAACTGACACTTTTATAACAATATTCTTCTGATAGTTTTGTATATCGTTGACATTCCATAGAACCAAATATTTTAATTGCTTCAACATTACCTAAATATTCCCAAATTATTAAAATAATTTCATTGGGTAAACGATTGAAACAATTTGTTGTTGATAATAAACATATATTTGTCATTTTGAATTATAATTGACGATTAGCTAAACAATAAGTATGTTTATTACAAGATTTATTTATGAAAACTCAATAATGAAATATTTATTCTTTTCTAGAAATTCATATAAAGTGTTTGACTGAAATTATAGAAGAATCGACAAACGGATAGTAGTATATTAAAGTTAAAATTATTTGTCTATTCAATATTTTCATTTCAACAATGACATTTTCAATTAATCATATTATCATCGAATTAATGACATTCATTTCAATTATATAAATGTATCTTCAATAAATAAATTATTGAAATGCTTCGTTTTGACTGAATGCAAATTTAATTTTAAAATGATTTGTTTGATATTTTCTAATACTTAGAAGATCTTTAGCGGATCGAACTTTAAGTAAAATTTCTCGTCCTAGAAATTCATCTACTATTGTAACCTTCAAAGATAATAGAAAAATATAAAAAGTTCTAATAAATAATAATAATCATTCATTGTTAATGGGGTATTTTTATGGTTAAAAATTACCGTTAGAAATTATCTCATTATTCATACCTTTAGAATAAACATTGACAAAGCTGATACCTTTTCAAACCATTAAAAGATATTTATAATCTCCACGTACAAAACATTATCTATGAAAATTTTACAAAGATAGAAAAATCTTTATTTTCTTTACACAATAATGAACTCATTAATAAAACTTTCTTCTTCAGTTTCTATAAAAATAATCATGTATCTTTTCGAGATGTATTATTTAAAAGAAGTCAATGAAAAAGACTGATGTAGAATTTTTTAAAACATTTACATTTTAATAATAATAATTCTATTGAATAATTTAATTTTCAATCATTTAGTTAACATATAATCGACTTTACGTATCATATTGACATTACTCATTAAAAATGACAATGATTTCAAATAATGTCACTTAAAGCTCATATATTCTATGAAACTCGAAATCTTTTTCATCGTGAGAGATAATTTTCTTCATTTTAATATGTTATTTACAGTTTTTATATTTCAAAACGAATATAATTATTTAAATAGATACGAAAAATAAATTATTTTATTGATTTACTTACAAGTATTTAAAATATGTTAATTATACAATGATTTTTCTTACAGCAGAGTTTTTCAATAATGATAAATATTTTTTAAAACAAAATTCGTATCAGTAAATACTTTTTACAGAGAACAATTACCATAATCGTTATTATCTCGACTGTAATTATGTTTTTTTATCAACTTGTACTCATTGATATACATACATTGAAGAAAAAAGTTCATTCAAAAGTCAACAACAAAATGGACGAGAATGAAGAGAAAAAAAATATCTAAAATGAAAACGTATATAATAGAGTACGGTCAAATTGGGATAAACTATCATATCAATGTCAGATGATGAACACATTAATGCAGTAAAGTGACGCTACATGTCAAGATACTTTTTTGGAAGATGAAGTTGATCTAATAAATTGACTTATGGGTATATAGGACTTTCTCCTTTCATTTTCCTATTAGAAGTTCCGGGAGCGCAAGTAGCGAAGAGGTTTTGTTAGGCGCAACACCGTTCCACTGCTTCCGAAAATTAATAGAAAAAATAAATAAATGAGAAAACTTCGGATTTTATCCGAAAGTTATGTGTACTGCAAAAAGTGCATGAGATAGAAGAGTCATTCTAGAATATCTGAACCAAAGACTGGTGTTATGTAATATCAGATACCCGTACTACACTCCGCGTCGCTGTAAGAAGAAAACGGGGTTTTATTCGATCCATGCAGAAAAGTTTCTTACAAGAACGGTACTATATAATTTTTCCCAAAGAAAACAACATAAGAAAATCATAGGAAAGTATCAGTATTTTTTCAATAACTCAGAAACGGCTCAACAAATTGGATTCATCTTCGAACCCGACCGGGATATATATGAGGCTGAACTGTGTACAAAATATCATCGCGATCTGACTCTCCTTTCGAGAGTCATCGTGTAAATGGACGGACACACTGACCGATTCTATATGTGTCCTTACTTTTTGAGTACACAAAAAAATAGGTTTACGCCACCCCTGCTTTTCAAAATTTCGTTTTTTTTGACCACCAAAATAGAAAAACTAGGGTTACGCCCCCCCCCCCTCCCACTCTGATATATGACTTGCGCCCCTGATACAACCTATAATTTTTTAATACATTAGTATGCACAAATAAAAAACAACAGCTAAAGATTTTTAATTAGCAGTTACTAGATAATTTTAAAAGATAGATTTACAACAATTTAATTGCTTAGTTTTATTTAAGATATCTATAAAATCTTGATGAAATAATGCTTAGTATTTATAAGTAATTCATACGATCAAATAATTATTTAATCGTGCATATTCATAAACAAATATGTCATCGATTGTTTCGTGAATAGTGTTTAGGAATGAGAAAAAAAAAAGAAAGATTCATCAAGATATTATTATCAACATCATTCAACCTCATCGACTAGATAAAAATGTTTATGTTAAAAAACTAATGCATCATTTACTTTTTCAAGTTTCATTTTATCTAATTGTATATTAATCAAGAAAAAAGAAATAATAATTAATTAATAATCCCATAAATTTTTTTTTAAAATAAAAATAAACTAAAATATACATTCATGCCATACATATATTCTCTTTTGTATTAATATCTGTTTCTTTTTTTTTCGATGGTATAAAAGACTATTTTAACGAGAAAAAAAATCTGTACTGTTTTCACAAAAAGAAAAGAAATCTAACTAACGAAAAATGCACAAAATAAATATCGCTTTTGAAGGAAACATTTTGTCATCGATTAAACAGAAGAAAACATGAGAATGCATGTATCAAAGGAATAAAATATTCCAAGAAATATATCAGAGAAAGACAAACGGAAGAAAAAAACTCATTCACATTTAACTATACACAGGAAAAAAAGGAAAATGATACATTTTCTATTATTCTTGACCAAAGCCTTCGCATTCTTCAATAGCGAATAAAAGTTTTTCTTTGAGAATTTCATATTTTTTATAAGGTGGTAAATCTAATCGATTAAAACATGTATGTGATCGCGGTAATATATTATCTTTGCCATATTTTTCTATACAAAATTTTTGTGCTCCATTAGATCCTAAAAACAAAAAATTTAGTATTAAAAATATCTACATATATATATATTTACCAAGTAATTCAGAAAAACCACCAACTGGTACACGACATGTACCAGTAACAAATTGAAGTAAACGTGCTCGTTGTTCATCGGTTATTTCACGTACAAATTGCCAAAACCATTGAATTTGTTTGGCATTATCTGTATAATGTTTATATATAGTATTACGTTCCCAATCAACAATATCAATTTTTGATATTCCACATAAAAGTAATTCTAATTCACGTTCATTAAATATTTGAATCCATTGTAATGGAACAACCTAAAGAGTTAATAAAGAAATAATTTTATCATATAAATATAAAATTTATTCTTACTTCATTAAATCCATGTAAAAATGCTTTCGTTTGATCTTCAACTCCTCTTGCAAATCTCCATTTTGTAATTAATTCTAAATATTCTAATTTATTTGCTTCTACCAATTTAATATCATTACCACCAGGTTTCAATTCAATATTTTCGATTTTTCCAAGTAATTCATATGATGTATTGAAATATAATTCTAAATCATCATTTTCATCTAAATTATTTTCTCTTATCCATGATAAACTTGTATAAAATTCTGGATCTAATAATTCTAAATCATGTATTGTTAATGTTTTGCCAAGCATACGTTTATAAAATGGTAAACTAAATCCATTATCAATAAATTTTTCATGATAAAGTGCCATAGCAACAACACGACCAATGAATCTAAATAAAATTAGTTTATTTTAGTTTTTTATTGAATAGAAAATTTCTTACTGAAAATAAATTAAATGATCAGGATTAATTGATGATGCTGGATTTATTTGTAAATAATAATTATTTTTACTAGCATATTCAAATAAACAATACATTGGATTAAGTACTTCATGTGATAAACGAAAAAACCATTCACGTGCAACACCACCATAATCAAGAGCTTCTTCACCTTTAAATGATAGATATAAACGTCGACGAAGTTCAATTGATTTACATTGCATTATATGATTTAATGAATCATCAAATAAACGATTTCGACGTATGGTTAATTTTAATTGTCCATTTGTGACATTTGTTGAACATAAATAACGAAATTGTCGAATTTTATATGGTAAATTACATTTAGAAATTGATTTTGAATTTGCATTTATTTCCGGTAAATTCTATAAAAATAAAAACAATGAAATTTTTTATATAAAATATAAGATATAGTTTTATTCTTACAGAAGAAGATATAATTCTTGGATCTTGAAATGTCGTTGTTTTTGTATTATGATCAAGAAAATACATTTGTCCTTCTTTAGTATAACACATTTCAAAACCATGTGGTAATGGTATATCAAATAAATTATTATTCATTTGTCGAGGATCTTCCCATTGAGTTGTTTTTGATAAATGATTGATAAAATAAGATCGTCCTTGATTATCAAACATTCGTTGCCAACCTTAAAAGATAAATCTTTAATTTTTTCATGAAAAACTTTATCCCTCCTAATATAAATGATCTCTACGAGAAGATATGATCCTGATCAATCGTAAACAGACTATACTAAAATTAATTTATTAACATTAATGTATTATGTGTGAAAATACATTCTAAGCGTTTCGGATACATTAACTCGTGCATGAAAAACTTAGATTAAAATACAAGGATCTTATTATTAAATCAGATATCGTATAACATGTTATGCTTGTGTATATAGATAGGCTCTATCATCAAAAGATTAAGATGATTTATGAGTCAAAAGAAAATCTTTTTATCAACGGAAAATAATTTAATAACAAATATTTATTTGTTAAGAACTGTTTTGTTGTAATCTAATTAATTCTTTTTCGTATAATAAGTTCTCATAGTTCTTTGATCAATAGTAAACGATCAAAATTATATTTACCTTCAGGCAAAGGATCTTCAGCAGAATCATTTGATTGAGTATTATTTTCTGTTTGCGGTAAAAATCTATGTTCAAATTGATTAAACACTGAATGACTTCTAGCATATTGATTTTGCCATTGTGCAACATTTGATAAATGAACAGCAGTTGGAGGTATCCAAGTACTTATACGAGTATTATGATCAACATAATAAACACGTCCGCGATCATCAACACGTTCTTCCCAACCAGGTGGAAGTATAACTTGCTCAAGTAACCATGTCGTTCGACGACGATTATGATCAACATAATAAGGACGATTATGACTATCTAATCGAAGTTCCCATCCAGCTGGTAACTAAAAGAAAATGGATAGAAAAAGAAAATCAACTTGATTTATTTTACTAACTTGTTGTTTAAGCTGAGCTAGTCGTGCTTCATCTATTGCTGAATTTCTTGGTTCGGTTAAACTTGTTGTTGTTGTAGTTTCATTCATTTGATTAGTTGATAAATGCTGTGTTGTAGATTCATTTGATAAGATTTGATTCGATGTTTCATTTTCTGACGTTAAATGACTAGATGATGGAGGTATATTCTATGAATGAAAATATATTTTGTTTTCAAATAAAATAAAATATTTACTGATTCAGATAATATTTGTGAAGATCTATTCTGTTGTACTTGTTGTTTAAGTATTGAACCATAAAAAATAACTTCAATCATACCAATTGAAGGATTACGTGTATCATATAATCTAGATGAGCTTGATGTTGTAGGATTTTGGAATGGTAATTGAACACGATGTGATGGTGATCTATCATCATTATTATTATTTCGTTCATTTAAATAATAATTTTCAATAATTGATTTTAAATTAAATTCAACTTGTCCTATATCATTATTACCAAAAAGACGTGTTGGTGCAAGAATTTTAAAATTTATTTTTGAATTTAATGAAACCAATGCATCAAAAGATTCATTTATTGTTATTACTGGATTTGTTGCCGTTGTTGTTGTTGTTGTTGTATTAGATTTACCTTTTTTACGTATGATTTCTGTACGATACGTATATTTACTATCAACTTCCATAATAACACATAGATCAACTAATTTACAAGATGATGGTAAACGTACAGAACAAATTTTTATACGTAACTGAGCAAGAGATTCTGGTAAATGATTATTTTCAGATGATGATTCCGACATTATTGAGATTTTTTATATTTCAATAATATTAAGTTATCATATTAAATTAAATGGAATGAATTGAATATAAATCAACTGTTTCTTTTTTTCATAAAAACATATTTTTATGTCAAAGAAAAATCAATCTTATATTTATAGTAGTGTCTATACACGTGCATATGTTTATCTTGCAGTTTATTTGTCTATACAACCACCAATAAGATAGAGATAATAATATACTTGGTTACTTAACAGAAAGAAAGAATAACAAATTCAACGGTTATAAATAATATACTTCGATCGAAAGGATAAATATTATCATACTTGTACTTGTTAGTTTATCTAGACAATGAAATTGTTATATAGTTGATATGAAAGTGACGTGACAAAGATTATTTCTAGAGTAATCAACGATTGGTTGATGTTATCGATTTCTTTAGGATCTAATGTGTCTTTGTACGATTTTTTATTTTCAAAAAAAAAGAAGGTCTTTTATGATTACTGTGCTATTAAGATGTTGTTTATAAATCTCCATGATACTAAATCTCAAGTTACACTAATTTATAGTCAGAAATGTTCTATATATGGGATTAGAGTATTAGAACATGATCTCATAACGACAGCAAATCGAAAAAAGGATATGAAATCGTAAAAATTTTATCATATATCTCAACCAATTTAACATAAATTGAAATTAACTTCTCATGTAAATAAGTAAAGCAAGAATGAACGTAATAATGTTACAAAAATGATAATGAATATAATCATTGTGGCATCAACAACATTAGATAATTTCATAAAAATAATTGAATAAAACTTTTTCGTGTTTCTATTCAAGTCAAATTGAAAAACTTGGTTATACGATTCATTCTTTCGTTATTATTAATAAAAGTACTTTTAATAATTTTTGATTTATTGTTTTTCTATTGGTCTTAATACATTTTGTTCATATAAGATAACTGATTTAACTACTTAATCTCTTGATTAAAAATATTTATTAACCAACAATACTAGCAAAGAAAATTTCATCGATAAATATAATTAATATATGCATGTAGACAGAGGTAGAAGAGTCTCGTAATTTTCGACGTATTGAAAAAACTACACCCAATAACCTCACGTGAAAAAATAAAAAGAACGATTACACGTGCATTGGGCGTGTAACACTATATATCGTGTCGTATTCTGCTATCCAATTTAAAATAGCTCTTCATTCGAAAATATTTTCTCTAGAAGCAAGATGACGAAATTTACTCGAATTGGTATTATTGGTGCTGGATCTATGGGTGGAAATATGTCGTTATTATTTGCTGAACATGGTCTTCAGGTATCTCTGTATGATGTTAAACAAGAAAGTGTTCAAGCTGTTATTGATATGGCTAAAGAACAGGATAATACTCGTGATAAAGTAACTGGTTATAAAGATTATGAAACATTTATGAAAAGTTTTAACAATGATAAACAACAACCACGTCTTCTAGTATTTAGTATAACACATGGTCATCCAGCAGACGATGTCTTAGCTTCAATACGTCAATATTTAAATAAAGGAGATATTATTTTAGATGGTGGCAATGAATGGTATTTAGATACAGAACGTCGACAAAAGGAAATGGATAAATTAGGTGTTTATTTTATTGGAATGGGTGTATCAGGTGGATATCAATCAGCAAGACGAGGTGCATCTCTTTCACCAGGTGGAAATAAAGATATTCTTGATAATGTTCTTTTACCATTTCTTCGTACTGTATGTGCAAAATCGGAAAAAGGTGGTGATTGTGTAACAAATATAGGTCCTGCTGGTTCTGGTCATTATGTTAAAATGGTTCATAACGGTATTGAACAAGGTATGCTTAGTATTATATGTGAAGCATGGGGTATATTTCATGCTTTACTCGGTTTTTCCGAGGATGATATTGGTCAAATATTTACTGATTGGTCAAAAAAAAGTGAATTAAATAATAATTTTCTTATAAAAATTGGTGGTGATATATGTACTCGTCATTATAAAGGTGATGATCCATCTTCTGGACATGTTCTTGATGATATTGAAGATAAAGTTGTACAAGATGCAGATAATACTGAAGGTACTGGTGTATGGTCACTTCAAGAAGCAGCTCAAGTTCATATTTCTGCACCAACAATTGCTGCAGCACATTTATTTCGTATAGCATCAGCAAATCGTCCAGATCGTATTCAATTTGATAAATTAGTTAAATTAGAAAAACCACGATTAGCCGATGTTTTAAAAGAGAAAACTGAAGAATTTATTGAAGATCTTCGAGGTGCTGTTTATATTTCAATAATGGCTTCTTTTGCACAAGGTTGTAATTTAATTTCTGCAACATCTCATGCTAAAAAATGGAAAATTAAAATGAGTGAAGTTATTCGTATTTGGCGTGCTGGTTGTATTGTTCAAAGTGATTATATTGCTGATCTTCTTCAACCATTATATTTGGAAAATGAAAAATCTAATGATGAACCAATAACGAATATTCTTCTATTAAAACCAGTTGCTGCTGATATAGAAAAATATTATCCTGCACTTAAACGTGTAGTTCTATTAGCTATTGAATATGGAGCTCATGTACCAGCATTAACTGCTAGTTTAGAATATTTTAAATATGTTAGTAGTACTGATTTACCAACACAATTTATGGAAGCTGAATTAGATTACTTTGGTGCACATTCATATGATCTTAAAAGTGAACATGCAATGAACATCAAAAAAGGACCTCATCATTATGAATGGAAAAAACCATAAAATTGAATTTAAAAATCGACGAAAGAACTTTTTTTTTATTTTATTATATTTATTTGTATTCATGAAAAATATAGTTATTATTAATCTATTTATGTTATAGATGTATGAAACTTATACTTACTTTCAATACTAGAAAAGAACTAACACTTATCTAGCATTAACTTTCTCATCATATTGTCGATGATCAGATAACGAAATGCTTTTCTCCGTTGCTTCAGTTTTTTTTTGGATACGACATGAGAAGACAGTTTCAATACTTTTTATATTAGAGTGTCTGCATATACATGTAAGATAATTCAATACATAGTTAGATAACATTTCATTTCAAGAAAAAACATTTATTTCGGTTTTTATTTTCAAAAATAGTTGGAATTTGTAGTGTCTAGGATAATAAATTTTATTATGGGTGTACAATTTTGAGTTTGATATAAAAACGCAGAACTCAACAAATTTAGACTTTAAAAAAGTAAGTATTATATTCGTCAAGGTATTTGATTAGTATGAAAAGATGCGATTTAACTTTTATTAACATTTGTTTCACGAAGTTTGCTAAGGATGTTCACCGATAAATCTAATATCTTCCGCTATACAACCATGTAAATATATAAAAGTATTTAATCGTGCTTTTGCAGGCCAAATTGATTCGTATTGTAATTGTTGGGTGACAATATGTCTTGCACAAAGACATTTTAGTAAAGAAGGTGTTTGTTGTTTTTGAAGTAGAGTTTGCATTTCGATAGTCTTAGCATAATCAAATGGTGTTTTATTATGTTTATTCAGACAATCAAGATGTGCTCCAGCATTTATTAATAATTCGATAATTGATAAGGCATCGAGTTTATCACTTTGAGAAATGATATGAAGAGCTGTATTGCCATCTAATAAATCTACTGCATCTACATTAATCCAATGATTGTCATAGGTGAGAATGAGTTGAGTTGCAGCTAAGTTTGGAAAACTGAAGAAGACAAAAAATAATGAGTAAATATTGTGTTTATCTACTAAATAATATTAACTTAATGATTTGCGTAATGGCATATGCTCGATTATTGATGTCTAGATATGTTTGTTCATTAACGCACAAATGTAATAATGTTTGTTCATTTATTGTTGTATGTTGCTGACGACAGAAATCATATATCCATCGATGTATCGATTGACGTTCTTCTTGAGTAAACACTGGTTGTTCAAGAATCTATTAGTGAAAATTTGATTAAAAAAAAGAATTAATTTAGAAATGATGGAAATGTTTTTTTCCGAATGTACATATGACAAATTCATAGTTACCTTTGCTGCAATAGCCACTAGATACAAGGCATTTCTTAAAGTCATTTCATTTTTATTTTGTTGTGAAGGCTCCAATGTTAAACGACATATTTGTATAAATAATTGAGGAGGAATAGGTACGTTGGCAATTAACATTTTACAAAAGACCCAAACAAATCGATCAAGACTAGTTGCATAACCCATGTTTTGATATAAATGAAAGGTATGTTCCCATAAATGAAGACAGGATTCAAAATTACGTTGTTTAATAAGTTTTTCTCCTCGTTCGAGTAATGGGGCACATAATTCTTTATCTTTCTTTGGCATTAGAATACGTTCTCGAATAAGTAATGCTTCTATATATAAACGATCAGGATCATTTTGAATTTGATCGAATTCTTCTATCGTTTGACATTCTTGTTGATGATTGTAAGCTTTGATTGGTTCCATAATCGATCCTGGATAATTTCTTTCTTTTGTCATTTGAAATATTTTTCGTATTAAAGTGATTATACTTGTACGTTGTGCTTGATTCATAGATATATTATATTCCGTTGATAAAATCATTGAACAAGCTATTAGCTCGAGCTCTTCAATAGCTACTTCGTGTTTTATAACATCTATGAGATGTTTAACAACATGTAAACGATTATATCTTAATGCTAATGCTATTGCTGTTTTAGCTCTATTAATTTTCATATCTGTAGAAGCACCTGCAGAACATAATAATTTCACTATACCTAAATGACCCCCCATAGCAGCACATCCCACAGCTGTTTCATGACTTCTTGGCGTTCTTTCATCAATATTGGCACCTTTTTTAAGAAGATAGGTAACGATTTCTGTTCGGCCATCACATGCAGATAACATAAGACTATTGTATTTGGGATAAGCATTTTGTTGTGTTCCATCTATATTTACATAGTTATCTTTAACTAAAAATTTAATAGTTTTAAGACGATTTTTAATCACAGCATCGATCAACAATGGATTTCCTGGGCCACGATCAACACTAGCTTTCCCTTCTTTAATAAGTGTACGAGCCAATGTATAATGACCTCGATCACAAGCACACCATAGTGCAGTAACAGATGAAACAAGGTTTCGATTGATGTCATATACTCTACCAGTGAGTTCTACTAAATTTTTCACATTGGAAGAACGAGAAAGTATAATACGTACCACATTATCATGTCCATATAAACTGGCTAACATAAGTAAACTAATATGTTCACCATCTATTTTATATAACGAATTAAGAATTTCATCAACATTAGGTAATGATATCAGACGTCCATCAAGTTCATTTGATGAATCACCTTGACAAATTATAGTATAAAGTTCTTTGATCACAATTGGAATAGTCATTTAATCTAGCAAATAAGAATCATATAGTATTGATAGTAACTAAACTTTTTATAGTACTGATAAAACTCAAGAATAATCTCTATTTCTTAATTCACATTTTTATCTCAAAATCAATTCTAACATAATAGCTTAATAATGCTTTGGCATTATATACTTCGTATTCTGAATTTCATTAGTCTGAATAAACAACTACATTTTTGATATAAAATCAAATAATTCTAATAATAAGACGTTGTATATGCTGAGAATGAAAATAAAAAAAGCAATTTATGACAAATTTTGAAAATTCCCAATCGTTATATGTAATTTATTAACTAGTATGGTAAATCATGACTTCTAGATCATATGAAATTTCCATGATTCTATACTTGGATTGTTCCAGGTAGGAAAAAATGATGTAATAAAATAATATTATGACGTTACTGATTGATTGTTTACTTTAATCGTTTCTTTTCGTATGAAAAAAGAAAGAATAACAAAAATGAATAAATAAAATTGGAAAAAAAGAATGTGATTAGTGATTCATCGTGTTCGAAAAAAAACTTTTCTTTCGGCGAAAAAAATGACTCAATAAATAATTTCAACATATAGATTCTTGTGAAATAATATTATGAATTCAAGTTTTATAGAAATTACAGTTAAACATATAAAAATTTGTTTCGTTTTCTATTTATTAAAAACAATAACTTAAAAAATGTCTCACTAATATAACATGTTTACAAAAAAAGATGAATATGAAGATAGTATTCGACGTATCGCATAATAAATTTTAACATTAATGCCATTTGGTTAACTAAAAAATCAAAGATTTTATTTTATTATACAAGAATAAATCCAACCTTAATTAATTCTTCTGGTGGACGTGTTGATTTGATACTTGCTGTTCTTACTATTGATGATTTCGGGCCTAAACTTATTCTTGATTGATCAACAGTTGATGATCGTTGTTGTTCTTCAATTTTTTGTTCAAAACTATATTTCACTGATTATCTAATCTCGTTTAATCGAATTTTTTTTACTTACAAGCTCTTTCGTAGTTTCACGTTTCCAACAATGACTGGAAAAGATGCGCGCTCTGTTTCATTATAACTGGGAGAATCTAATTTATATGTTTCTGTATGATCGGGAGAATCTAATTTATGTGTTTCAATTGTATCTATACAAAAATTATATATAAAATACAATCATTGGAAAATTTTATTTCATTTACCGATAATCGATTGTGGTCTCTGTTCGACTTTTTCTGAAAAAAATATATCCAATTTCAATTAAATTTTTCTAAAAAAAACAACTATTCACTTTGTTCTTGTATTACAGCTACGACCGTTGTTGGATGAATTATTGGTGAAGGTGAATTCTAAAAGATATGTATATATCATCTTAATAAGACAGATAAGAGAGTTATGACAAACTGTTATAGATGAATTAATAAGTGTTGGATTAGATTCGTTTAATTGAGTTTTTAATTCCAAAAATGTTGGCCGATCATCAGGTTTTTGTGACATACATTTTAATATTAATTCCCACTGATAATCTGATTTACAAAAATTTGGACGAGATAAACGTTCTCCACTAATTACTTTCTTACGTATTACCGATTCATTTTTATATTGTCCCCATGGTAGTTTTCCATTTGAATAAGCTTCCCACATAAGTACACCCATTGCATACATATCTAATTTTTCTGTAAAAACATCAACTGTATCATCATCATCATCAATATTTGCAAGTACTTCAGGTGGTGATGATCGAATAGGTACAATATCAATAGCAGTATTTACAGCATCTATTTTTGAATACATACAATTACCACGGCTAATACCAAAATCAGTTAATTTAACTAATGCTTTCTTTGGTTCTTCATCATCCAGACGAAATACTAATACATTACGACAAGCTAAATCACCATGTATAATATTTTTACTTGATAGAAATATCATTGCATCAGTTATTTGTACAAAAATTTCTTTTAATAATATATCCGACAATGATCTGTTAGGGTTTGTTTCTGCATGATGTTCAAGATAATTAAATAAACTTCCTTTAGGTGCCATTTCTTGTAATAGCATAACAAATGTTTCAGAATTATTCATCGTTGATGATGCTTGGACTAAACCGTATGTATAAACAATATGTGGATGACGTGTTAAATTTTCATAGAAAGAAGCTTCTTTTTCAGCACGAGCACCATATAATTTAAGTAAAACAATTGGTGGTCCATTTGGATTTCCAATCCATTTAGCTTCAAAAAGTGCTTTACCAGTTGTTTGAAAAAAAGGATTTTGACAACGTTCAATATCAACACCTAACTTAAATTTATAATCATGCTTCGATAAATTTTCTCGAAATTCATTCACTAAAGTTTTAACAATATGATTTGGACGTAATCCTGCAATAGTAATGGATTCACGTGTCAATGGACTCGTACCATTACGTTGAATCCAATCAATTATAGCACTACGTTCATATGTATGACCATCTTCAGCAACTACAGGATCATGAAATAAAGCAAATGTAATCGGACAAACCAGACAATTACTATATTGTCCAGCCATTCGTAAGATGTTAACTTTTTATGACTATGTTGCTTCTTATATTTGTTTTTTTTCGTTCTGATGTTTTTCGATGTCTACTGCATGCACGTATTTTTCTTATTGAGACAAATGGATTGTAAAATTTTTTTGTTTTTTTATAGTTGTCGTAGTTTATTCAAAGAAAGAAATTACAATAAAAATGATTCATGAAAAGTTAAATAGAATAAAAAAAAAGAAATCTTTTATTTTTAGTAGTTATTTGATTTGTTCTATTGGTAAAAGTACTGTTTGTTCCGTTTTTGAAGTTTTTGTTGATATTTCAAATCGAACTGCATATAGAATAAAATTTTCCGGATCAAATAAAGCGATTGCTTTTTTTTCTTGTGTCTCATATTGATGATGAATTGAATCAAATAAGATTTCAGGTGTATTATCTTGTTTTGCTTTATATTCCATTGAACGAATTACTTGTCTATTTAATGTTATATATGAATTTTGTGAATTAATGACAAGTTCAGATTCTTTATTTAAATAAATACCCATAAAAATTCGTTCATCATTTTCACAATCATCAGCATAAATAAACCCTAATAAATTATTAATTGACGATTGATTATATTTAAGAAATGATTCAGATGTATCATAATCAAGTGGTTTATTTAATTGTTCAACAATTAATGATGATTGTTTATTAGAATTATCTGTTAGAATTATTTTAAGTTTAAATGGTTGTGGTAAATTTTTATGTATTCGTCTTCGTGTAAAGTTATCTTTCCCAGCTTTACCTGGAACACGCATCCATCCTTTAATACCATATGATACTAACTTATCAGATTCAATTTCAAATGCTAAATCAGCTAACCAACATGGTTCTTGATCACGTAATGTTATTGATCCAATAGCTATATCTTCACATTCACACCATGATCCATCATTTGTTTGATAATGAACAGTTAGATTAGTAACTAAAATTGGTTTATCACCGGATTTTTTAGAAAAATTTATATGTGTAATAACAAAATGTTGACGAAATGTTCCTTCTTCTGATGAATATGACTCTTGATAAGCTGTTACTGTATTTCTAGCACCGTATGCCATTCGTACTAATGAATCACCTTCACATTCATGTTTAGTTATTTTTTTATCAGCATCCTTGTTAACATCAATTTGTGGACCGATTTGTTTTATTGGTGGAATTTTCGTTGCAAGCTCATTTAAATATTCACGTTGTTGTTCAGTTAAAATATTATCATCATTTATTTCCGATAAACAAATTATTTCACCTTTTTCTATACACATACGTGATTCATCAAGTAAAAGATGTAGTTTATTCGACCATATCTGTTCACTTGAACCAACTTTTAAATTATATATAAGAAATAAATTTGTATCTGATTTTAAATCATATTCCCATTTAGCTTCGATAAACCATTGTGTATTACCTACACGTCCAATAATATTATCTAAAGAAGAAAAAACAAAATTTTCTTAAATAAAATATTTTTTTATTCAAAAAATTACTTTGTGATTTTTCATTGGCAATTTTAATTAATTCAAATATATTGAATATATAAAGCCCATAACCATCTGAATTTCCATATATTCTTATAAATAATTTTTCAAGATTATTTAAACCAATTTGAATCGTTTTTTCACGATTATCACTTGCATCATATTGTTTTATTTCCGACCATAAATTATTAAAATCTAATGTAGAATAATTATCTTCTACAAATTGTTCCATATCATAACAAATAATTCGATCATTATCGTTCAATACAATAGAACATAGATCATTATTTGATAGTATATAACCATCATCAGTCATTAATTGAATTATTCGAATATTTTTAATTGAAAATTGTCTAATAAGATAATTTTCAAGTAAATGTATTAGTTCATTAATAGTTGTAGTTGATGGTGAATTAAGTACATAAATAAATTTTATTACTGATGGTGATGATTTTCGAGAAGAATTTTTATTAACTGATTTATTATCATTAATTTGAACTTTTATACGAATTGATGACATTACTTTATACGAAAGAAAAACAAGTTATGGCACGTATGGATGTTTTTTTCTTCTTCTTCGTCTTTTGTAATTGCACAATAGACAAAACAACAATAATATGATATCAAAATCCTTTGATAAATACAAAAAATAAAGCACGTGGCTAGAATAATATTTTTTTCTTCTGTTTTCATAAGTTTTTTTTATGATCCATATGACAATATTTAATAAAAAAGGAAATCTCCATCTAAATTTATCAGAAATTAAAATGACGTAAGAAGTAGTTACTTCCTGTACTAGTGCGTTCCAAAAGGATTAGATTGTTCTATTCGGATTTAATTTTATCATAATGATATGATTATACGTTCTCTAGCGATTATCTATATTAGTATTACTAAGCTATTAGAAGAGACATTCAAAGAACAAAAGACAGTCTGTTAGGATTGCTTTTATAATGTTGTACATTTGATGATAATGATGATGATGATGATTGTTTTTTTTCTCTCTATTTCTCATATTGAACAAGAAATATCAAAATATCATTTATTACTGAAATAATACTAATGTAATTCACTCGTAATACAACAGAGAATTGTCATATTGACATGATAGGTTTGTACAACTGTAGAATGCTTGTTAGGAGACACATATGTGCACATCACTCTGCTATTTGATGCAACCTGAGGGTATAATAGGCACATATCCATATACATATAACGAACAAACAATACTTTCCAAACGAATCGACATTTTAGCAAATGATAAAAATGATTGAGCTTTTTTTTTCTTTAAACATACATATAGGCACATAATCGATGATTTTACAAAGATACGCGTGTTCATGGTCGTGACCTTGAACATCCATCACTAAAGTGCTTTATATTGTATAAAAGTAAAGCCTTGTTAGACACATAATCGTGATGTTCATCTACGCACGGAAGGAAGCTCCATTATCAGGAGCATCTGTATATATATATACCTATCAATAACGTACATAACAACAGAGAAGAAATAAAAAAAAAAAGAGAGAGTAGAATACGTTTATATGCTCTGTAGAGAAGAAAAAAAAAAGATCGTTTAATTTCTGGACGTACTGCTACTGGTATTGTTGTTGTTACTATATGTATGTAGTACCAGAAAAGAGAGAACAAAAGACAGAGAGAGAGAGAGAGTAAGAGAAAGGGAGTAGGAAGAAAATGCAATTGTATTTGCTACAGTTCATAATAAGAGAGAGAGAGAGGGTAGAGCGTTGATCCCCATCAACTGTTCAGTTCATGAAACGCAAGAGAGTTATGCAGACACTCATACAGGATAAACACTCGAATGAATTCAAATAAATATGTATATATATATATATATATACATATACAAAAAGAATAAAAGAATAGAAGTGAAAAAGTCTCATACATTTCAATAGTTACACGTACGTATTCTATTTACTAAGGTATACTCTTATATAAAAAGGTAGTTTTCATAATTTCTTTCTTTGTTTCTATTTAAATATACGAATATTAAAATTTAATTATGTTAATTAAAATAAAATATTTTTATATATTCTATTTATTATAGATGTTAATTGTATTTTCAAAAAAATACTTCATCGAAACAATATGATTACAGATCGAGTTTTGTTTTATTTGTTTTTTCTTATATTTATTCTTATTTTACCATCATGGACTTATAAATTTGAAACATGTTGTTCAAATGACAAAACAACAAATACAACATCTACTACACGTCTTTTATCATGTCCTTTAAATTTTGTTATTAAATTGCGTACAGTCATTTTTTATACGGGTAATGGTTGTGCACCTAGTACATGTCAACGACGTCTTAATAAACATTACCTTGCTTGTAATAATCATCGAACATGTTCAATATCGATTAAATGTATCCATATGGATTCTTCAACATGTTCATGGTTAAACAAAGATGTTACTCATGCTCAACATTTAATTGTCGATTATGATTGTATTTTATATGAACCTGAAGCATCATCAATTGCTTTAAATCGAATTGATAATAATAATAAAATTAATAAAACTAATGGAAATGATAATAATCAAAATATTGTTCTGTTTTCTGCTAAAATTAATATTGAATCACCACCAGATATTTTAAATGATTCATCAGCATCATTATATGATCTAACAGATGATGAACGTGCATGGAAAGAATTTATTCTTAAACAATATCTTAGTGGTAAACGACCACAATTATCAGATCTTGAAAAGCCAATTATTATTCAACAACAACGTTCATTATACAGTGATATACTTCGGACTGTAATGATACTTATAGTATTTACTTTTATTCTTATTGTATTAATGCTTATTGGTCTTTTTCTTTACAAACGTATGACATTACTAAATAAGAGAAGATTTTTTGATCATCATCATAAAGACCAACAACAAAAACATGAACCATTTCCAGGCGATGAAGCTTATGATAATTTAAAAGCAAGTGCAGCCGATTCAATAACAGACAGTGGTGCAGCAACTGACGTGTAAATTGACTTCAATTTCAATCTATTCTTTAACACCTATTTGTGAGTTTTTACATATGTTTGTACGCGAGTGTGTGTGTGTGTGTGTGTTTATGCGTGTTCATTGGAATGTCAAGGATTATTAACGTTTAAAAAAACAACATATTCATCTATCTATATATCTATTATGTATATAAGGTGCATACGTATGCATACAATTGATATATATCTGATGGCAATGATGAGACCTGCCAAAGATTTGTTGTGAAAGATCAACGTGTATACAGATGCAATAATAGAAGAAGCTTTTCTTCTTCTTTTTTTTTGTATTCATCTTTATCCGTAATCGATATACAGTGAATGATGATCTACTATAGCTCAATTTCTGCTGGTCGAAATCATTTGCCCTCAGTATACAAGAAAAAAAAAGAAGAAGTGTAAACGAGCGTGATGTAATGAAGAACAGAGGAGAAGGAAAAAAAAAAGAATCTAGTTGAGTAGTTTATTATCAGAACTGAGAGAGAGAGAGAGAGAGAGCGAGAAAGTAATTGTCCGGTACGATAAAACAAACAAGTATTACAAGATAGAACGTACTATGAGAAAAGGGAGATGTGTTAATCTAACCTCGATAGGACTGCTGCTATTCTCATCATCATGCTACAACTGATTGCGTGTGTGATAAACAGACCTTGGATCATCGGCGTGTCAACTACACGCACGTATGCACGGCTCAAACAGCTCAGTCATTTTATCCCTATACATACATACATACATACATATATACATACACATATACACAGCAAGAGAAGGAAAAAAAGGTCCGATCAACTATATATTATGACATAATATGAACGAATGCCAGCCGGCATATGAAACTAATGGGTCGTACTATGCAAGTCGCTCAATGTCATCATTCTCATCATCAATTGATGATTGATTGATTGATTGATCGATCGTTGAAGAAAGATGCTTTCTTCTATTGTTCCCTATTATATGTACATTTATGTTCTATTGACTATAGTTATATCTAATGCATCTAAATGATTTCTAGTTCTTATATATTCCAATCATTATTTATTTTATGTCGCGTTATAAGTTGTTTAATAGCTTGAAGGTATTCTTATACTGATATGCATCTGTATATTGGAACTACGATGAATTACCATTTTAATTGATATGAATTGTTTTGTCAAGTGAAAATATATATATATAGTTTTAATTTCTTGTTCTTTTACATACAAATAAATGACTACAGGGAATCGAAAAATCGTGCGTCTATTAATGAATCGATTGACCCGAGAGAAAGAATCATTGCATATTAAAATACATAGTGATAGATCGTTTATTACATAAATTGCTTTTGAATAAGTAGATATAACACACCATGAACTAAGCATGTAAAAAAGATAGATTTGATGTTCATCATCTTCTCTCGATCACACTATTGAGAATAATAAGTAATATATTGTTTTGATCAAATTTGACCATTCAAAGACTATTCTCAACTATCCCTTGATAAACAATATAAACATAGAGAATAGTATTATCAACAGTACATCTATAAATCATATTGAGAATATCAAATGTACATTTATATTGACATAATAACCATATTAAATTTACGTCAATGTCTATAGGTTCTTTTTTCATTTGACTAACAAATAAAAAAAGAATGATATGCATTTGATTTTCACATATATTTATAATGAAATCAATAACCATAATAAATCCATTATAAATTATTCTAGTAGATCGATTAAATTTAAAATTATAATAATTATCGTTACAAAATTCATTGAACAAATCTAATGAAAATGAAAGATATTATATTAATTACACAAATATTTACATTTAAACTTATGATGAAAAACTATTAACATACGATTAAATAAATAGTTCTATCTTAATGAAAGCTTATAATTAACTAATCGATCAATTGTTCATCACTCCCGTTCTATCATAAATAGATTCAATATGTTTGTTAGTTACTAATATTCACCATATGATGTGCAATATATATCTCTTCAGCTTTATTTATTTGAAAAAAAAATTATGTATACTAAACTTTATACTATACAGAAAAAGAAATGTTCTTTGAATTAGGTTAGATTTACAACATTCGATTTAATCTACTATTGATGTAACAAGAATAAACTTATTTTAAAATGAAGTTTTATCTTCTTATAATCCTTTGCGTGTTAAATTGATGATATTACTTAACAAGAAGAAATGTCATATGTTTCTTCCTCATCTCATCTATAATGTTAGAAAGAGTCTTTTAAAAATAAAGAAAGAAATATATATATATATTTCTTATATCATTATTTATATTTCTATTCTTTCAAACAAAACATTTAAAATGATTCAATATGAGATTTTATAAGAGTTATTCTTTTCTAATGCGTCTATTCTTTATATCAACAGGTATAACAAAAGAACATACAAATATCTTTATCAAAGTGTTGATCTGTTGATTATTGTGACAAATTTGAAGATTAAATTATCGAGATCATTCTCATATATAATTATATAAAGTAATAAATGTCATTTCTTTAACAAATTATTACCAAGCTAAACATATATACATTTACTATATAGAGTGGAGACCTTTTGTCTATCTGTATATATATATATGCAACAGGAACAAAACACAAGAAGACTTCATCAATTGTATGTTATGTCATAATATGAATGGATGTCAGTTGACATATAAGACTAATGGGCCATATCATGTGCAAAATGCCCAATGCCATCATTCTCATTGTTGATCATTGATTGATTGATCGATCGATTGACGATCGTTGAAATGAAAGCGTCTGTTGCTCGGACAGTATTACATGAATATTTTTCTTGTCAGATCGTTTAGATTTTAATCATATTTATATGTACAAGGATAATTGTTTTTAATTATTAATAATGATTATACTATTTCAAATAGCTCAGTAGATATACTTTTTTCTATTTGAAATATAAGAATAGATTGTGTTTGTGTTAATAAAAATGCGTCAACATTTTCAATTGTATAACCTTGACCAAATTTAGTTTTTAAATGTTGAATCGTACCTAAACAAGCTAATTGACTATTAAACATGATACGATTACATACACGTTCATTATGGAAAAAAAGAAAAATCTACGAAAATTAATTTGATCTTTTATACAATTCATCCATTGAATGAATTGTTGAAATATTTATTAATTTAGTTTTAAGTTGCATTAAGAAATATTTCTTGCATTTGGATCATATATAGAATGTGATGTTACCAAAGTAAGAATAATGAACTAATTGTTTGCACAATGGAATGTATACGTGCTTATAAATAGAAACCATCTTGAACAGTTAAAAAATCCATACTATACATAATGGTCTTAAACGAAAATTAACATTTTGTCCATCAATATAAGTAGTACCTTGTATTGCTGTTTCATCACTAATAAGTATACGAAATGTTGTTGTTTTTCCAGAATCTTATTTTATTAAAAATATTTGTAAAAAAAGAGAGATTTTATTCATATGACTTATACTAACGCTCATCTTTGAATTCGCTGAACATTTTTCGAAAGAAACAATATTGGATTGGTGAACAAATTGTTGAGTCCGATGATATATAATAGTCTTGACCGACTACTAGAATATATGACAATCACAATAGAACAGGGTGTGGGTAGGTTTCAGATGGATAAAGTAGAACATCCATGTCCTTTTCACTAGAGCTTAACCAAAAAATATATAAATTCTATTTCTTATCTCAGTGTAGTCTTTGCCGTCATTATTTTGCATTCTCTTTCTTCAAATAAGTAATTTGATCACTTTGAGAAATTGATAGCATATCACAAATATATACTCATGTAAAACGAAAGAAACAAAACAACAATAGACTTCATTCTACCGATATAAAACGCTACGCAAGGCCGTCAAAACAATTTTAACCAAGCCGAACAAAATGCCTGTTACTTTTCTTACATTACCGGTAGAACTTGTCTACCGCATTCTGGATCATCAGACTGATTTTACAATGTTCTGCTCAATGCAAAATGTGTGTCAACGATTCAATGCAATCCTCGACAGTTACCATCGATACCAAGTAAACTTCTTTTTAATCATGATTATCTATCTTTCTGCTATCTTCGAATTATTTCCTATTCCGACAATCTATATCTCTGAGGAAATGCGTGAATAAAATAATGACGAAGCATATTAATTCATCAAGTATTAATCTCGTCAAACAGTTTATATATAGCACTGAAGTAATAGGAACGAAATATGAAAATATACTAAATAATAATGTTTTCTTTTCTTTTCTAAATATACTACTGCTCCCACACTGTTTTTACTCATCCATGTACAATATTTAGAAGAGAAAGGATGGAAGACAGTTCTTTTACCTGATCTTTCATGTTGAAATCGGCTTTTTAGTAGAGACTAAAGACGTCACAGGAGTTGTAGGAGAAATAAATCAATTATCCTTTACCTGATTGGCTTTGTAGTCAGAAGAGCTCTATTATTATATTACATATTACTAGTTTTCTCATTTCATATGAATACATATTACTTCACACAGGCTATACTTCGATTTAATTAGCAGTAAATGCCAGAATAAAGAAATATGATAACACTTAAAGATTATACATATAAATCTTAAACATTCATAGATCTACGCACAGCAGTACCGTGATCTAAAAACTGGCTATCGAAGGAAAATCGAAAAAATGCAAGAAATATAAGAGACAGTAATAACTTAGACTTATACCATCTTAATACTCAAAGAGCTGAAGAAATTCAGGAGGCACTGATACGATGAGAAAGTAGATGAGAGTGAGAAGCTGATGACCTCAGATCAATAGAACTTATGACGTTTCTTACGATGCATTATAAGATCCGATCATCCAGCAAAATCTGATAGGAACTTGAGGAATAGAATCACATCGATTTCTGTTAGCTTAAACCTGTAGGCACAACAAACAATGTCCGCATGCCTGCAGGAACACAATAACCACAACGAACAATGTGAAGCCAGTTGAATTTCTTGAGTTACTACAACTACTACATTTTTTAAAACTTCTTAAATTTTGTTTCGAACCCATAAGCTTTCTCAGAAAGTTTTGATTCTACCTGTTTCTGTCTCTTTAATTCCTACAATTTTGTTAATTGTTCAATTTTGCGGATCATATGTACATCTCTCTACGAGCAAATAATCATCAAAAACAGAGATGAGATAACCTGTTACAGATATGCGGCAAAACTTAATGAAGAACTACAAAATTTTAAATGCTCTTCTTATAGCGAAACATTTAACTGCAACCTTGTTTACTAATCTACTAGATTCAACATCTGTATTATACTATCTCAATTTTCAATAAAAATACAGAACAATTCGTTGACGTATAACATGATAGTAGCTTCTCTGATCCCACTTGATTAATCGAATATTACTGAACTTTCAGGAAGAACAGCTGGATATGTCGACCAATATCTGATCATAAACTTCATCTGTAGTGACCCGATTGATTCCTTCTCTCCCATAATATTTTCTTTAATGTTTCAACTTTCGGAAGTGGAGATTTGCAAAAAGAGATATACCCCACTTTTCTATCCTCATCCTTCTTCACAAGATTTGACTAACGTCTCATAAATCAATACAGGAAATCCCCGCTCCTATTTATCTATTTAATATACTCATATGTACTACTTAATACAGACATTTACCGAATTAAATCTCGGCTACGATCGAATTGGACATATCGGAGCACAGCATCTAGCAGATGCACTACGAAATAATAAGGTAAATATCATTCTCTTCCTCATCTATTTCATC